ATTCTCAGGTTTGATAAACTTAGCAGCTAACTTAGACTAAATAATTTCTTAGCCTAAACAAACTCAAGGGTCTGTAACAGGGGTGGGTTCTACTTACCTTTACTACCGGTTCACATCGCTCCCGCACCCTCGTGCTCTTCTGCATGTGCAGATCACCTATGATGATGTCCGGGTCAGTGGGCGGAGCCTCCCACCGGTTTTAATACTGGTTCTTGCGAACCAGTCCAAACCGGGGGCAACCCACCACTGGTTTGTAAGCTTCATTTCTTTTCAGACTGTGTGTATATTCCTTTATGCTAAATATTTTTGATGAGTAACACTAAGGAATATTACATCGTTGTAATATTGCAGCAAGAAAAAGGAGTTAAAATTAAAATAAGCTTCAATTTCATAAACCACTCTAAACTTCATGTTGGGCAAGCTGAATACAGTACTTTAATTTACCAATTAAATTGGATGGATTAAGGAGATAACATCAAAAAACAATGGAATATCTCATTATAAAATAAGCACAGACTTACATATTTTTCTATCTTTGACTTGGAGAGGAATTGAGGGATTATCCACAAATTACAATGAGTTGTAGAAATGTTTATCTCAGAAGTTTGGAATGGTGTCAGATACCAACACCTTACCCCTCAGAGATAAAGGTGAGGCTAACCTGGGGGGGGCGGGGGTTCCCTGTCTTCCCAAGACAAACAAATTGATAGGCCTTTTTAAAGTAATTTAGCTATTTACTCCTAAAATTCTTTTGTTTATACCTTTAACTGAAGAAAATCATGTATCATAGGGCAAAATCTTTTCAACAAAGGTACCTCAAGTAGATTGACTTAACAGAATCCAAAATCTGAGACCCATGACTCCTGTAGATCTGAAATTTGGCAAATTTTATAAAACGTTTTTTGACATAGAAATTATCATAAAGCATTTTATGACATATTACAGAATGTTATAAAATGTTTTTGTGCTCAATTCCTGATACTTGACTATGCTGAACAGTTCAACATGGGCTAATCTCAAGGCAGATACATCTCTGAATATCCCTCTGATTTTTAAAGAACTTTTCCAGTACATTAGAAGCTGTACCATTGTTGAAGGCACTCATAACCAGGCCTCAGAAGTGGTGGGCGAGTGCACACATGTGAACACGTATCCCCATTTACACAAACAGCGGGCAAGCATGCATGCATTCCATTTGCGTGAGCGGTGGGCGTGCAGTCCTGCCCTTGTGCAAATGGAGCTGAGCGCACGCACACTTTTCCCACTGCTCATGCAGATATATCCCCTCCGCCCTGGATGGCCTGCAAAGCCAGAAAGACTCTGGTATACTGTGGTATACTCTGGAACTCTGGTATAAAGCACCTAGATGAGATAACTTCTGTGGAAAGGTACCATAAAGAATTGTGTCAAAAGCTGCTGAAGTCCAGGGTTATACTTGTCTAGCACAGTTTTGTTGCAAAAATCAAGCATAAACTCGGAAGGAAATGGATCTAGAAAATCCATCCCCCCTCCCCCCCCCCAAAAAGTCAAGTCTAATCACCTATCAGGTCACCTACCATATTCAAACATCTTGATCTGGAAGTCTATATTGACCACTGGTCTATAATTATTTAAATCTTCTGGATCATTTTTTTAACCAGTGCTTTCACTACAGTTCTACTTAATAAGACTGGGACCATTTTTTCTTATAGAAAAGCAAATCTTTTCTTATAATTAGCAAATACAACCCCAGCTTGGACACCTTCCTACCAGATGTAACAAGAAGAAAGGCCGAAATGCATCTGAAAGGATGAATTAATTTATCAAATACCAAGGTAGTTGTGTTTGAAAGTAAAACAGAATAAATTATTGCAGGTTATGGATAAATGATAGAAAATCCGAACAAGTATATACATTTGTGTATTTTTATCCTATCTTTTCATTTTTATAGATAACTTAAGGCAGCATACTTAATACTCCTTCCTTCTCCTATTTTCTCCACAACAACAAAGAGAGTGACTCACCCAAAGTGAGGCATTTATGTCTAAAACAGAACTAGAATTAACAGTTCCCTAGGTTCTAGCTTGGTGTTTAATCACTAAGCTAAATTAGCTTTCCAAAATCATTCTCTCAAAAGTTATTCATACGGTAAATAGTTTAAGGGCAACAAATATACAGGAAGTCTTCAACTTACAACTATAATGAAACCTGCCAATTTCAGTTGTAAGTTGTGATACTCATAAACTGGGCCATCCCATGCCTGACCCGATTTTAAAACCTTTCTTTATGGCAATTGTTAAGCAAATGCTGTAATTGTTAAGTGAATCTATTGTTTGCTATGGGGCATTTTTACTGAAAGCCAGAAGTAACCCACCTGTTTTCAGCAAAAATTGTGGTCCACACGAGATGCTGCAAATGGCTTGTAAATGCTGAATGCCCAAAATAGAACTTTGGAACCAGGTCATAAGTACTTTTTTGGGGGGGGGGGGAGTATCCGTTGTAACTTTGAATGCTGTGATCGGTCACAAATCAAGGATTACCTGTATTCCCTATTAGCTATCTATGTTTCTGAAGGAACAAGGGATGAGTTTACATTCTGTCAGAAAGGTTTAAAGTCTGTCAAAGCTATTGGTGAATTTCCCTAGCTTAGTTTCCTTTCAGGTCAAGTGTCACCCACAGGCAGAAAAAACACCCATCAACTGTTTTCCCCATCTTGGGCAAGGGCTATCTTGGAAGGAACCAAGCCTTAACACATGGCTAGACCCATAGGCTTAGCCATCTAGCAAGACTTGTTACAAAGAGAATTTATCTGCAAGGTGAGATCAAGGTGCGTAGGCATGCCCAGCAAAGCAGAAGAATATTTTCTGCTTTATTCAACAGTCCTCCTTTACCTCTGCAGAACAGGCTCTTGATTTTCAGGACATCTCTAAAGCTGCCTGATAAAACAACAGAGGCTCTTCTGTTTTATTGGGTATTTTTTCCTTACTCCTTAAATCAGGATCAGGATTTCACCCTTTTCCCTGTAGACCTTCTCTACCCTTTTCAGTCAGCCACAGATTGAACACCTGGAAGATAGACTCCCAGCAGGAGATAGAAGAAACAAATCAACCCACCAATCATTGTGAGCCAGTCCCTAAAATAGCAAATAAGCACCAGAGGAATAGTCTGGTGAAGTGAGGGAGAACTTTTGAATTAAAAAGTTGGCCTGAAAAATTGCTGATATTTCCTATATTGCTATATTTGCTATATTGCTAATTATATAGATATTTGCTATATTGCAAAACAGGATTCTCTGGCTTCAAATCACTATTCCCCTTAGCTTTTTTTTTTTTTAAAGGGACCTTGAATGTCTTCTAGTCCAACCTCTGCTCAAGCAGGAGACCCTATACCAATGATGATTAACCTTTTCGGCACTGAGTGCCAAAACTGGAGTGCCTGCACACCAGAGCACCGGAACCCAGAAGAGAGCAGCTGGCCAGTGCGCATGTGCGCAGCGGCCACCTGCACTTCCGGGTTTTGTCACAGGCATGCGCCCCAGACAGCTGGTCTGGCATGCATGCACACAGGCTAGCTGCTCTGTCTTGGGTTTCGGCACGCGCATGCGCACCGGTCACCTGGTCTTGAGTGAAGACCAGCTGGTTGATGTGCATGCGTGTGCCGGAACCCAGAAGAGAGCAGCTGGCCAGTGAGTTTGTGCGCTGGACCAGCTGTCTGGCGCATGCACGTGCTGGACCCCAGGAGAGCAGCTGGCGATGGTGCGCGTGCCCACAGAGAGGGCTTTGTGTGCCACCTGTGGCACGCATTGCATAGGTTCGCCATCACAGCCCTATACCATTTCAGATAAATGATTGTCCAGTCTCTTTTTGAAAGCCTCCAGTGATGGAGCACCCACAACTTCTGAAGGCAAGCTATTCCATTGGTTGATTGCTCTCACCGTTAGGAAACTTCTCCTTAGTTCTAGGTTGCTTCTCCCCTTGGTTTCCATCCCTTGTCTTTTGACATCAAGACATCATCTTGTCTTTTGGTGGTTTGGAAAATAGTTTGACCCCCTCATCTTTAGCTGAAGGATGCTTGCAAATAGAGATAGGTGGCTCTTTACCCAATACATTTCTAGTCCCATAAACCTGATCAATGTGTTTGGAGACCTGACAGGTAAAGAATCATCTTTTCCAGTCACCAAGTAAATTTAGTATTAATTAATAAGTAGCACAAATGGGAGAGTTGCACCCTGAATTGGTGTGAAAGAGATGGCTTTCTGTGCCCTGCTTCACTGTGCAGATTTACCTCTCCTGTTGTCAGCTTTGGCTCAGGCTGATCCACGTGTCTGCTTGGGGGCTCAGTTTGAGAAACCTAGGAAGAACATAGGAAGAGCTCAGCTGTAAAGAAACCAACTGCCCAAAAGCAGAATGGAAAACAGTATGCAGGGTCAGAGGTGACGGGGCATGGGTGCCAAAGCCTGGAGTGGTCAGTATAGGTAGGCAGTATAGGTAGGCAGTTTCAACTATTGCCCATGTCACCAACTACATTGTTAATGTAGCCAAATATATATTAATAAAAGAGGAAAAACAGTACTTTAAAACAAGCAGTTAAAAATGACCCTAAGCTCTCTTTCATGTGTGCTGAAGATAAGATGGAGACAAAGTTATAGGGACAAATTGAATAACCAAACCAGCAGAATGTGTTTGTCCTGCGCTTAGAGGGTGCTCTGAGTTTAATGGGCCTTACTCTTAAGGAAATAGACATATATTCTTAAAAACAAAAAGAAAAGAAAAAAAGCAGATGACACTCAAATGGTTTCTGTTCACATATTATTTGTTATGTATGTGATTGCAAAGTAAAAGAGGATGTGTATGTATGCATTCAAAACTGATGATTTTAACATGACTTTGATTATGAAAGGGTTTTCAATCTTGCCTTTATCAAGTTCATAGACAGAATGCAACTGAGACTTTCTCAGTTTTTTTTAAATTGACTTTTCCCCCCTTTAAATGTGACAGTAACTTTTCCTTTTACATTTTTAGGTAAATCTGAACATTCACATTTTTCTGAAACAAAGGTAAGACTTTATATGAAACATAGTATTGTTTCCTATATATTTTGTCACAAGCTTTTAGTAGCAGTCTGTAACACTGACGTGAGGCAGAGAGTTCTTCCTCCCTCCCTCTTAATGCATGAAAAAAAACACTGTTCGAACACAGAAATCTTTTACTGGATCAATTCAGAAAATTTAATGTTTCATAAGACTTCCAATATGCTTTGGAGTCAACAGCAAACCAATCATACAATTTGCTAAACATTGGATACTACGTACACCAGTTGAAATTCTGGAGAGCAAATAGAAGCATGAATAATGATTTTGCTTACAGCTCCAATTGTTCTACTTCAGGGACATTTTTAATAACATTGATTTACAATTTCAGTCTGACCAAATGTGATTAGCTGCAATGAATACAGCTGAAGCCAGGAAGTCGTACAAGGAGTTCTTGTTTAATGACAGTAACTGAGACTAAAAACTCCATCGCTAAGTGTTGCAGTCATAAAGCATGACATTACATAACTCTGTTGACTTACAAAGGCAGTTGCTGTTGCCATTGTTAAGCAAATCCCAGGTGTTCATTAAATGCAATGTCACATGATCACCATTTGTAACCTGTTGACTTCCCCAATGCCTTTGCTTATTGGAAGTGAAGGTCACAAATGGCAATCACGTGGCTGCCAGACTCAGCAACCATCATAATTAGTCAACAGTTGCCAAGTGCCCAAATCACAATTACAAAACTAGTACACTATGATGTTCACTACTGTGAGGACCAATCCTACTTCTCTTTCAATGAAGTTACATAGTTTTATTTTTCTTCCTATTTTATACATTGATAAAACAATAAAAGATTGTTTGTATTGTATTTAATGCTGTCATAACTTTGAACATAACTTTGAACCCTGAACGAATGGTATATGATTTGGATTAAAACATTATTTTAAAATAAATGTTAATGGTTATTTTAAAATATGACAAGAATATGATCAAATACGACTCCATGCAATATAGTCAGCACATGTGTTCTGTTAAGATTTTTTTTTTTTTAATTTGATTTATATGCCGCCCTTCTCCGGAGACTCAGGGCGGCTTACAATGCATTATGCAATAGCCTTCATACTTTTGTATATTTATACAAAGTCAGCTTATTGCCCCCACAAACTGGGTCCTCAATTTCCCTACCTTAGAAAGGATGGAAGGCTGAGTCAACCTTGAGCCTGGTGAGATTCAAACTTATAGTAATTGCAGACAACTGGTGTTAATCACAATGCTATCAGTCTGCTGAGCCACCAGGCCCTTTTTTAAATATTGGGTGTAGGTATGTGCATATCTTAATTTAAATAATGCCAATATTTTTGCCCTAAACTCTTTAAGGGAAGGGAGATGTTTTCTTCTGCTATTGCAGTAGCTGTATTTTATTTATTTATTATTAATTAATTCTGTATGCTGCCCATCTCACTATCGAACAACTAGGGTGGCTTACCATACCAAAAAAAGAATATGTAAACATGTTAAAACATTAAAATTAACAAGAAATTTGCTAAACTAGTACATGAATGGGATGAGGTGGAATGTTCTTAATCCAGTAGCCAGTATACAATGCCCCCATCACAGCACAGTCAGGTTTTTAGGCCTTTCCAGAAGCTGGGAAGGTGGGGGCAGATCTCATCTCCAATGGTGTAATGTTCTAAAGGGCAGTAGCCATAGCAGAAAAGACTCTTACCCAGGATCCTGCCAGCTGAAGTTTCTTGACCAATGGGATATGCAGCATGCCCTTCTGCTGGAATGAGTGGGGCAGGCTAATCTCTTTGGGATGAGATTGTTCCTCAGGTAGAGGAACCATTTGTTTCATTGCTCTTAGCTCCCTATTTTAATTTGTTCAGCTACTCTTTAATTTAGTATTTAGGTTTGGAATATACTTCTCTTCGGCTACATACATGCCTATAATATGCAACTAGGTCAGGGGTATCAAACTCAATTTCATTGAGGGACACAACAGGGCTGTGGTTAACCTCACGGGGCTAGCTAGCGGTGGCTGACTGGGTGGGTGTGGCCAACTGGGTGGGCATGGCCAGTTTGGCACCACTCTCCAAACTGCTGGCATGTTTCCTCTTCTCACTGGGTAAACTGGGCCAAAGCCACACTGGCCCAATGTTTCCTCTTCGCATTAAGTAGACCGGGCTGAAGCCACACTGGCCAAATGTTTCTTCTTAGCATTGGGTAAACTGGGCTGAAGTGACACAGGCCAGCCCCTTACATTTTCCAGGCCGGCCCCGTGGGTTGGATCCGACCACATTGCGGGCCGCAAACGGCCCACTGGCCTTGAGTTTGACACCCCTGAACTAGGTAAATAGTCTATGTTTATCCCAAAATATTTCAAAAGTAAATTCAATGGATTTGTTATCTGTAGCTATTACTGAAACTTATATTTGTCAAGTTCACTAGAAATATTATGAGATAAAGTACAAGAATAAATAGATTTTTGTAAGTCTCCCAGATTGATATTAACATTAGACAGTTACACAAAGGGTACTGCATTTTTGCTGAGCTCACTTCTCTACAACTTATCAATTCAACCAGTGCGACTACTTTCACTGATCTCATTTAATTTGATCTTGGTGAAAATCTATATCCAAAACTAGTTGCATGTAAAAAGGTATGCTCCCAATTAGTTAAAATATATTGGCATTTGCCCTATTCGGAATCTGACATGATTTTTTAAAATTTCACAATACTTTGCAATCATGCAGATATAATGCTTTATTCATATAGTTTACCTGTAACTGTAAAAATAGTACAGCTGGCCAGCTAGCTATTTGTTGTAGTTTTGAAATATGGAGGAATCAGCAATCTAAATATCTTTATTAATTGCATTATCCAACACTGACTAATTCATATCAAAGTGAACTAATTCAGTCATCTAAAAGATTACCAGTGTAATCAAATAACCAAAATGTTCTTTCTCTGTAGTTGTTGACATTGAACAATACATGGTACCATGAACTTGATACAAGAGAAGACACTTTAAAATATCTACCTGCATGTTCTCCAATTTGTTAATATTTATAAAGCTGCAATTAAATATTTAAAAGTACTGTTTCTGTTATAATTGTATAGGCAATAGACTTTCAGTGTGCAATTCATGAAAGGTTATTTGTGAAGCTACAATTTTAAGTATATTTGGTTTCTTTGTTTGTTGAGGGAGTTCACATATCCAAATAGGAAAATTAACAATCCTTCTATTTGAAGAGTGAAACAGTTTTCTCTGACCTGTACATAATGTTCTCAAGAATGTTGAAGAAAAGTCATGTGCTAGTAAAGAGAACAATGTATGTACTTAAATAACTGCTTTCATTATTTAGTTTAGAGTGGTCTAAACTATTATATGGATTATTTTTATATGGAATATTATGATAATTTACTGTTGATTAGATCCTAAATAAAATGGATGGTTTAGTCATCTATTTGCCAATTTAGAAATAATCTGTACTGAATTTCAATTGGTCTAATAGTATATTTGTAATGTAATTTATGCTATTGCTATGAATTAATTAATAATGGTATTATATTTTATGTGGTAATCCATTCAGTTTGGATTGATATGTTTCAGAAGTTTGCAAATCAGAATATTAAGTGTTACCAAAATTTCTAACATGGCAGGGTAAACATAATTTGCTATGACAGATGATCTTTGAACTTTTTAAAAAAACAAGCTGAAGGAATAAATAGCCCTGACGAAAAATTAGAGAAGCAAGAATTTTGGCCCAAAACAGCTTTTTTACTGTTTACAAGGAAAAACATGCATTGAAGCTTTGTTATTTTATTTATGAATATGAGAACTTCAGGGAAAGAACAAGCCTATGGACAATGCTGTATTATATTGTTCAAGTGTGGGAGAATGGTATGCATGATTTTGTATTACAGCATGAAACGTGAAAATAAAAGATCATAATATAATGAAAAGGTCTGGTTTTTAATGCTTGTTTATTAAAATATATAACAAAGCAAGAAAGAGCCCTTCCTTATATTAGTTTTCTAATTATCTGCATTAAAGTCAATTATATATATTAAACTAACTAAAGTCTATTATTTAAATTTCAATTCCTTTCAAACATGAAAGAACTAGGAGTGGTAGCTCTGAAAACAAGACTGAGAGGGATGTTTGTCCCATTTCCCTTCTATTAGTTCTAATTTCTGTCCTACATTCTCCTCTTGGAACTTTCCCTTTCATCCCCACTTTTCCTCCCTGAACCTAAATCTCTTAACAGTAGACTCCCTTCCTATATTATGTGGAGTAAGCTTGCGGTGCTCTACTCAACTGAGCTTTGTCATACCTATTCAGCAGAAGATAGCTGAAACATTTCTACATGTAGAGTTCAAAGGAAGAATGATTGCATAACATTGAAAGCAATCTGGTTGCAGCCTGGTTATTCAAAGCAACAAACAAAAATTAAACACATCCACTTTATCCAATTTCAGTACTTTGAAAAGTACAATCAGCAAGATAGCTTGTTGGGGGGGGGCAAGATGCATATTAGAAATTCATTGGTTAATGTCTGGATTATATTGTAATATGTTTTTCCCTTATATAATATTGATTTGGTAAGAGTTTTTTTCTTGTTTAACTACTGATTTAATATAAGCTAGTCTTTTGCAATCGGTTGCTTTTCAGATATTTTGGACTGTAACTTAAATAAGATAGAAGTTGCAAAATGACTGTTTATCTAAAACCTGATATAATCCTTTTTCAGGTTATAGAATCCCTAGGAATTATTATTTATAAAGCACTGGATTATAGCTTGAAAGAGAATGAGGAGCGGGAGCTCAGCCCTCCCTTGGAGCAACTGATTGATCGTATGACTAATACAGTAGAAGCAGATGCAACCAAAGATGAAGGTTATGAAGCTCTGGATGAAGCTGCAGATGATGAACATAAAGGCAATATTGAAGTTATACAGTCTTATAGAGATGTCATGAAGGTATAGTTTTAATCTATTTAGCCAATGTTGATATTTAAGAAACCCTAACCCTAACCCTAACCCTGACAGTATATTCTAATTTAAAATATTATTTTCATCTGATATGTGCCTTGGCACAAACCTGTTTTTTGTTTTTACTGCATTTCAGTTTTCAAGAGTCTATTGTCTTCTACTACAGTCATTCCAATACAAACCTTCTTGGGAATTTCATCACTGCATTGATATAATATTCTTCTACAACCCACACATTCTTAGCACATTCCATTTTCATATAAACAAATACCAGAGAGATCTGTTTATCTCAGTCAGATTAAAAGCTAAAGGACATTTTTTTTGCAATATGCAAAGTTGGGTATATAAAAACTATTTTTCTGTAAATAATCTTTTATTTAACCTTATTTATTTAACATTGTAAAGTTACCTTGTAATTCAACATGAAAGTTTTTCTGTCAAAATACAATATTCACATCTTAAGTAGTTACTATCTCTAGATATTAACATAGCCTTTGAGTGAACATTGATTCCTGGTGAGTTTCTTCCACACTTAATGACCAGTTGCTTGGCAACTGTTTGAAGTTACAACCACTCACACACCCTCCAAGCTACTTACAACTTGGTTCCAGAGGTCTGACAGCTGCACATGTCATCGCAGTCAAACAGCTGCAGTCAATGAGTGCATTTCAGGCATTTGACAACCAACTCAATTTTGTGGCCAATTGTAGCATTCCTTGAACCCATGACCACAATTTTTGACATTGTTTTCCAGTTTCTGATCTCTTTGTCTGGGTTCCACAAAAAATAGCCAAGAAGAATATGATTCATTTAATAACTTCAGCATTTGTTTAATGACCACAGTGTTCACTTAACAACTGCTGCAAAAAAAGTAATAAAATCTGATCCAATCACATGGGTATCTGAACTTATGGCCGTCATGACTTACAAGAGAAAGTCCAGGCTCCATTGTGGTTATAAGTCAAAACTAAGGTAGGCATAGTTTTCTATTGCCTTCTCTTTGAACATTTCTTTCAACTTTAAAGGCTATTCAGTAGACTAATATCAAACAGATACAATCCTGCTTAGCTTGTTGAGATCCACCTGGTTATATGCCATCCAATGGACATCTATTATGTACTGTGTAGGAGAAGATTTGGGTAAAGAAATGTCCAATTTCACCTGATCAAAGCAACCTTCTACAATACTGTACCATAGGTAACAGCATTTAGAATTTGGGTTTGTGTGATATACTTGCTGTCTACATGACTGTGCCACAATTAGAAAAAAACAAAATATGTCCATTTATGAGAAATTCACAAGTTGCTGTAGTTTTGGATAATGAAGGAAAAAATTGGTGAAACATTGTCTTAAAACCAATAACACAGCATCATCTGCAAACATTCCTTACGCATACCTCAAATGTTCCTTATGCTTTTATCCACAAATATACAGTATTAAGCAACCAAGGAGACGCTCTCCCCCATCCCAACCCAGTTTTCAACTTTTCACTAAGCATTCCTTTCTGACAGATGGTTTATTTTCATCATATGCTGCACCTACTATGTTCAGCAAACAACCATCAGTTCCATATTTATGCAAAATCTGGACTGCAAACTTCTTCCTAGCACAATGACACAAATGCACTTGCGAAATTTTAACTTTAAGAACAATTATAATTTGCTTCCTTGTTTGCTCAAATCATGCCTATTTTCTCTGTGAGAGAATTATAGTTTTTTTTAAACCATTATTATATTACTTGTGGTAGAAGATTTCTGTATAAGTGGTGAGTTTGGATAGCTTTGATGGTTTACAAAAGTATACTCGGATAAAGTAATGATGAAATTCTTTAAAAATAAAAAAAATTCTAAAAGGCTTGTTTGAAAAGCCAGTTTTTTCCCCCATCTTGCTGTAATAAGAAAGTATTCGCAGATAGGCACTATGTTTGTCCCCTCGTGTGAACTCAAGCATTTTTTAATTCTTTATTCTAAAGTGCTGCACACCTAAATACTACACAGTATCTAAGTATCTATGTGTTCTCTTTTTGAGGCTAATCTTTCTTGGCCAATGCCGTTTTAAATTCAGGGTTGTTTTTTGTTTTTTGGCGTATTGAAGAAAGCTATGCTATCCTGTACAGGTAGTCCTCTACTTACAACAGTTCACTTAGCGATCGTTTGAAGTTACAACGGCATTGAAAAAAGTGACATGACAATTTTTCACACTTATGACTATTGCAACATCCCCGTCACATGGTTTACATTTGGTTATTTGACAACTGACTCACATTTATAACGGTAGCCTCCCGGGGTCATATGATCCCCTTTTGCAACCTTCTGACAAGATTTTCCTTGAGTTCACAACTGTGATATAGCCAAATTTAAGGACACTAGAACTAATCTTCCTCATTTCTAAATCACTTTTGGGATTTTATCATCTTCACAGTTAAAGAGAGACTTTCTTTGGAAAAGATAAGCACTTCTCTGGCAACTTTATTTTTGGAGCTACATTTAAATTGAAACATGGGAAATTTATACCGATATTAGCTTGACTAATTCTATATATTCATATAGAATTTTTTTTCCCCCATTTTTATTTTTTATGTTTGAAACACAAAATTGAAAACTTACTTTTTAATTAAACTGGGTTGTGGGATTGTAGCCTGAAGCTTCAGACTGACATTGCTTGATTTTTTTTTTTATCTGATTAGCCACCGATTGGTTGGATTTATAAACAAATTTTTTTCCTTTTTTGAACCTTTTTTTTTTTTTTAAATGAACAGAAAGAAATTTTTGCATGAGAAATCTGTCTTGTTTACATATTAATTGTAAAACAAAACCTTAAAGGTTGTTTACAAGGCCTGGACATTTTACGGCCTGCTGGCCACATCCAGGCCTTTGGCTTCCCTATCCAGCCCTTGGCAGTGGTGGGGCAATGGGGCTGGGAGCGAAGGTGGGGGAGAATGACGGCAGCCCTCCACAGCAGTCCCAGTTTCTCATGTGGCCCATTGGGAAAATTAATTGCCCACCCCTGTTTTAAACCAGGTCTTAATTTAGTGAAGATCTGGAACTAATTGCAAATAATGTACAGTCAAAAACAAATCTGCCAAGCTTTTTAACTTGAAGAAGAAATTCTTAAGCTGATACTGATCATGGAAGCAGTTTGCTAAATTCATATTGATCCATATGAACCTGGAGAAGAAATAATTCTCCCATTGTTTTGGTTTTTTTCCTATTGCAATTTTCACTTTATCAAGCCTTGGTATAATTATTTTATTAGGATTTATTGTAGATGCACTGGTTTTATTAATGCATATATTCATGGGCAAAATAGCTCTAGGTATTGCTGGATGATGTATGGATAAACAACATTTGTTTTTTATTTTCTTGGATAAAGAATAATTCAAGTATGGTTTAAAATATTTTGTGATACTGAAAAGTGAAATTACATTTCTCTGATACTTAAACTATAAATTGGACATTCATATTTCCTCTGTAAAACAAAACTCATTATCTTATTGTAACATGTTTGCATAGCTTTGCGCTACCCATCTGCCAACCCAGTCAGATGCGCCAAATCACTATCAAGCGGTATGTCGCGCACTATTTGCTGAAACAATGGAGTTGTACACATTCTTGGCCAAAATTAAAAGTGCTAGAGAGGTAAGCAATGTAAAAATCACTTAGTCATTTGGCTTTTTGCATTTCAAAAATGTCTGTCTATATTTCTGTTCTTTAGTATTAACACTCCAAAACAATTGTTTTTGTAATTACAAATACTAAACTTCTATTTTGGTGAATTACATTTGTCATAATTATTCTGATTTCAGTGGCACCATATAATTATAACTTAAATCTGTCAATATTGGTATTGGGCTCTTTCACTATTACTATATTTATTTGGATTTTAGTTTTAAATTGATATATTTAATATAAATTCATTTTGTGACTTGACAGTAGATTCAAGCTTTTCACTTCTCACCATCTTGTTCCTTCACCACTGTCACTATACCTTTCATATCAGTGTGTTAACAAATTATCTTGTTTATTGTGTCTGTTAAAAACATTGTTTGGAAGTGACAAATGCCAAAACAAACATGTGATAATTATAATCTTTTTAAATGTGAGTCTAAAATCTTTTTAAACTGTAATGGTGCTGATGTTGTTTCAGGTATTGCTAAATTATAATGCATAATATCCTTTACCACTGACCATAGAATTAATAGCTATAGTTCAGCAATATTTGTAGGGCATCGATCTTATTGTAAACAAATAAATTTTCTTTTAATTAATAGAATTTAAAGAAAATGCAGGAAATGGACAAAGAAAGAAATAAAGACTCTAGCACTGATCTTGATGAATTAAAAACTGCTGATTGGGTGAGATTACTTGTTTAAATAAAGTAATGGCTTTATATTACAAACTTATAGACAGACAACACAATCATATCAAATGTTTATATCAAATGTATACGAAGATGCACAAATATAAAATCTATAAAATCATGGCTAATATTATATCTGTTCTTCCTCTATAAAGTAAATAATAAAGAATTTATTGTTACTGAAGTTAAGAAACATGACTCTAAGGTGCTCTATTAATTTCAAGACATGCAACTGATTATTTGATTATGTGACAATGTACGGTAATTAACTGCTTACTTGTTTATAACCTTTCTTACCCTGCTTACATGTTTCCAAAGAAATATTGGAAATTAGTTGGAAAAAGATAATTGTCGCACTATTCAATAAAATAAATTCTAGCTTATAAAAGCTGAGGCATCATTTGTTTTGTGATACATGTAGAAGTTATAATGAGTATTTAAGTATAAATATTTAAGTTTAGTAGGGCTTAAAATACAATAATACAAATTTCATCACCTATTAACCCTTTATTCTTAACTACTTCAGGCACAGTTTTGGGTTCAAGTTATGAGAGATTTGCGAAATGGCGTAAAACTTAAGAAAGTTCAAGAACGTCAGTACAACCCTCTTCCCATAGAATATCAGCTCACGCCATATGAAATGTTGATGGATGATATTCGATCCAAGCGCTATACTTTAAGAAAAGTTATGGTAAACTCCGTCAAAATTTTATCATTCTTTGTATAGCCTCAAATTATGTTAGGACTACTAAAAAGAACAAAAAAAGAGAACTATTTTTGTTAATTTGAAAAACTAATGCCTTCTGGAGGGGTTTTATATTGTTTTGTTTAATTTTTGCCCTGAAAATATTAGAATCTTAGTTAATTTTACAAGCTGTTTTGAAAATCACCTCGACTTCAATAAAAGTGACTATGTTATAGGATCTGCCATTTCCCAAGAAAAAGGAACCTTATTTCTATGGCAGATAAAAACTAGCTGCGTAGATTTTTGTATTGTATCACATTGATTTAACAAAAATTGCTCTTCACAGCAGGAACACTAGTTTATAAAATTGAAGTTCATTTTATTTCATTGTATATATGAAAGCTATAAATGCTTTACCAAAAAATTTGGATAGCTTCTAGGTATCCCTTCCTGTGACCATTGAGCACGTGATAATCCTAAAGCTAATGCTTTATATAGAGTAATCTAAAGTGCAAAGGTCCATGAATTCAATTTCCGAACACCTTTTGAACATCTGGGTAGCTATATTTTATAGGTTTCAGATAATATAAAACTGGTTACATAGTGCCTGCCTCCCAGTGGTCAATGGGCTGCATTTCAGTAACCACTGCAATTATGTTTGTTCTGGAATTCATTGCCTTTTGGGATTGCATGATACTGATGTGCAAGCAGAATAATAGATATTTTTCTTCTCTCTTTTAGGTCAATGGGGATATTCCTCCACGATTAAAAAAGAGTGCCCATGAAATTATCTTGGACTTCATTCGGTCTCGACCTCCATTAAATCCTGTATGTAATACAATGGAGGGTGCAGGGGGGCAAAGTTAATGAAAACAAGAAATTTTCTATATCTTTTTACTTTAACCATATTCAGGTTTCTTCTATTGCTTCTCTCAGTCTTCTCTAAAATATAGAAAACACAGATTTTTTTCTTATATTTTGTAGCATTGACATCCTTCAAATGCATTTATATAAAATTAATACACATTAGAGGAATTGTTTTGAAATAAACAATGTATTTTTGCTGTTTCATATCAGCATCCTTTATGAAACATGCCTTATGCACTATCCCTTATGCAATATCAATTTGATCTGTCTGCTACAGCTGGTATTTCTTTTAGCCTGTTGGTTTTGTCATCTGTTCTGATCTGGGCAGTGGTGGGTTGCTACCGGTCCGCACCGGATTGGGTGAACCGGTAGCAGCGGTGGGAGGCTCCGCCCACCTGCCCGGATGCTTCTGCACATGCGCAGAAGCATCGTGCACATGCACGAGCGCATGTGTGCTCATGAGTGAATCGGTAGTGACAGGTTTTGAAACCCACCCCTGGATATGAGGATCTGTACCGGGGTAAAATCCAAAAATTTTCTTTACCAGTTCTGTGGGCGTGGCTTGGTGGATGTGGCAGGTGAAGGATATTGCAAAATCTCCATTCCCACCCCACTCCAGGGGAAGAATACTGCAAAATCTCCATTCCCTCCCCTCCTGGGGGAAGGATATTGCAAAATCTCCATTCCCACCCCACTCTGGGACCAGCCAGAGGTGGTATGTGCCAGTTCTCTGAACTACTTAAAATTTCCGCTACCGGTTCTCCAGAACCTGTTAGAACCTACTGGATTTCACCCCTGATCTGTCCCTAATCTGAAAATGTGATTTTGTGTATGTGTTCACATTAGGGTGAATCAGATATACATATACTAGAATAACAGAATAACAAAATTGGAAGGGAACTTGTAGGTCTTCTAGTCCAACCTCCTGCTCAAGCAGGAAACCATATAACATTTCAGACAAATGGTTGTCCAATCTCATCTTAAAACTTCCACTACAAAGACAAACAAGGTGCTAATTCATAACTGTGGTTCTTTCAGCAGTCATCTGTGCATTGATATAACCTTCCTCCATCCCTCTCAGGTCTCTTCTTTGCTCTGCAAGAAAGAACTTCTTTTTGATATCAATTCAAGGTATTAGGCAGATAGCCAGAAAATCAAACCTGTAGCATGTGCAGTGGCCAGACAAGGGGTGCTTTTCCCATTTAAAACATATTTAATACATTGTTTAGGCTGGAGAAGAGTTAGAATCTATTTAAATGAATATGCAGTGGCTGCTTGAAAAACCACAGTTATATTGTAGGCAAGCAATCTATTATTTTTAAATTGTAGCTTAGAAATTTACCATTATCTTATTTCAATGGACACGCAGTTCAGGTAAAGCCATGTATATTGATGAACATCTCTTAAGCATTGTCAGTATTTTTCTTTGAGATACGTTATTCTTTCCAGGCATCTGCAAGAAAACTGAAGCCAACTCCACCACGGCCACGTAGCCTCCATGAAAGAATTCTGGAAGAAATAAAATCTGAAAGAAAGCTAAAACCTGTTTCACCTGATGAGGTCAGGCGTAATAGGCTAGGTGAGTACTTTGATTTTGATGAAACCTGGTTCATCTCGCTGGGCTCAGGAACTGAGTGGAATGTGTGTGATTTGTCCTTGGATGATAAACAACCATCCAGCCCTGTTGCACTGTATGGCACTGAATCCTGGGCGACAACAACAGGGATTGAAAACTATCTCCATGCCATGGAAATGCAAATGCTCCGATGGATATATGAGCCTCTCTCTTCTTGACCACATCACAAAAGACACCATTCAACAGCATTTTGGTGTGGCACCAATTACAGATAAGATGAGAGAAGGCTGGCTCTGCTGGCATGGACATATCCAGAGAGCAGCACCTTCCGGTGTTCCACCTTCCACCTTTCTAACGGCTGTTACCAGGGGGACCTTTTATCAGGTTCGCCTGATTCGCCAGTTGCGGCCCTTTCTTGATCGGGATTCCTTGTGCACGCCCTCGTCACCTCTCGCCTTGACTACTGCAACGCTCTCTACATGGGGCTCCCCTTGAAGAGCACCCGGAGGCTCCAGCTGGTCCAGAATGCAGCAGCGCGGGTAGTGATGGGAGCAACATGGCGCTCCCATGTAACACCGCTCCTGCGCGAGCTGCACTGGCTCCCGGTGGTCTTCCGGGTGCGCTTCAAGGTGTTGGTTATCACCTTTAAAGCGCTCCATGGCATAGGGCCTAGCTATCTCCGAGACCGCCTGCTGCTACCGACGACCTCCCATCGACCCGTGCGCTCCCACAGAGAGGGCCTCCTCAGGGTGCCATCAGCCAAACAATGTAGGCTGGTGGCCCCCAGGGGGAGGGCCTTCTCTGTGGGGGCTCCCACCCTCTGGAATCAGTTGCCCCCGGAGATAAGAAGAATCTATGACCTCAATGCCTTCCGTCGTTCCCTGAAAACCTATCTTTTTCAGCAAGCCGGGTTGGCTTAGAAGAAATTTTTAAATTCTTTTAATTAGTTTGTGATTCTTAACTTTCGGGCCAAAATTTATATATATTTTTAAATGTTTTAATATTTGTATTCTATGTTTTTTATCTTGGCTGTACACCGCCCTGAGTCCTCAGGGAGAAGGGTGGTATATAAATTGGAAATTAAATTAAATTAAATTAAATTCCACCATGGCCAGGGCTGCATACCAACTAAAAATCAATAGCCAGCGACCTCACAGGCATCCAAAATAGAGATGGTGAGACATCATCAACAAAGACATGCAAGCTGCGGGCCTGCGCCCCAGAGACACAGCTAACCATGCAAAGTGGCGATCCATGATCTGAAAAGCGGATCCTGATCTGCGGGAATATGCTAGGAGGAAGAGGAAGAAGAAGAAGAAGATATGCGATGAAACCTTTAGGAATCAAGGTCAACTTGAAGAAAACTTTTTCAAGATGTGTTAACCAAATTCATTTCTAAAATATGTTAGCCATTTCAAGTGCCTGATTGATTAATCTCCATTGCTGACTATACAAAGAAAAATATAATGACATGGATAAAATTAAAATATGAACACTTTGAAGGGACTTCTATTTTCTACTGAAATAAACAAAGGCAGCTGATTTAAAATTTAAAAATTAATTCACGTGCAAGCTTTAAGCTTATATCTCATTTTGAAAGAGGGTATTGGCAATGGATTAGTGAAGTCTTAACGCCAATTCTGTTACCTCTTTATGCGGTTAAGAGCTTTCTGCCGAATAAGAGTTAAGATTACATAGGATGACCTACAGAAATCATATGTCCACCCTTGTTTGCAATCTTTTCAGTTCCACAAGCAGAAAAGCTATAAAGCAGAATTGCTGATTGTTTGTAATCAAATTTCTAAGGAAAAGACAATATACTTATCTCAGTGTTCTTTTTGCAGTTATCAGAAATTATAATGCCTAGTTTATAGTCACTAGCCACAGTCATCCCTATTTTAAAAAAGGGTGACCCCAGCCTAGTTGAAAAGTACAGACCAATCTCATTATGTTGCGTCACATGCAAAGTCATGGAATCAATCATAAACCAATCCATTACAAACAACCTACTCTCTAACAAGCAGTTTGGCTTCGGAAAAAACTGTCCTGCAATCTGCAACTCCTATACTGCAAAAACATATGGACTTCACAATTTGACCAGGGTAAAGCAATAGACGCAATTTATATAGACTTCTGTAAAGTCTTGGATTCAGTAGTACACGACAAGCTACTTCTAAAATTAAAATCTTATGGCATTTCTGGATCCCTGCATAAATGGATAGCTGCATTTCTATCAAACAGGCAACAAGTAGTTAAAATAGGGAATGCCCTATCAAAACCTGCACCAGTTAACAGTGGTGTCCCCCAAGGAAGCGTTTTAGGACCCACACTCTTTATACTTTACATAAACGACCTTTACGATCATATTATAAGCAACTGCGTTCTCTTCGCTGATGATGTAAAACTATTCAACACCACCGACAATGCTGCTACCCTACAAAAAGACCTTGACTATCTATCAGAATGGTCAAACAATTGTCAACTCCAAATCTGAACCAACAAATGTTCTGTCTTACATATTGGCAAAAAAAAATCAAAACACTAAATACAAGTTGGCGGATACAACCTTGTAGACAACCCTCACTCTGTTAAGGACCTTGGAGTACTCATCTCAAATGATCTAAGTGCCAAAGCTCACTGTAACAACATTGCTAAAAAAGCATTAAAAGTTGTTAACCTAATCTTGCGTAGCTTCTTCTCCGGTAATATTGAACTACAAACCAGGGCATACAAAACTTTTGCTAGACCAATTCTTGAATACAGCTCATCTGTCTGGAACCCAAAATGCATATTGTACATTAATACAATCAAACAAGTCAAGAGATATTTTGCGAGAAGAGTCCTCCACTCCTCTGCTCGCAACAGAATACCTTATGCCACCAGACTTCAAATTTTGGGATTAGACAACTTTGACGTCTTCAGTCAGACCTAAGCATAGCACATAAAATTATCTTCCACAATGTTCTACCTGTCAATGACTACATCAGCTTCAACCACAATACAGGAGCACACAATAGATACAAACTTATGGTAAACCACACTAAACTTGATTGCAGAAAATACAACTTCAGTAACACAGTCATTAATGCCTGGAATGTACTACCTGACTGTGGTTTCTTCCCCTAACCCACAAAACTTTAACCTTAGACTGTCTACTGTCAACCTCACTCCATTCCTAAGAGGTCTCTAAGGGATGTGCATAAACACACCAGCGTGCCGACCGTCCCTGTCCTAATGTTCCATTTCATGTATTCATAATTATGTTTATATTTATATCTGTTACCTATTACATGCATGACGAAAAATAACTTTTAGCAAGTAACAAGCTATTCTATGGCTCAAGTTCTCTGAATTCCCATATAAATGCTATTATGCTTCCCTGGATATTTGATATATACTAATACTTGACAGATGTTCTTTGTTTCAGTTTGTTTTAAACTATAAACCATTACTCAAAAATGTGGGCAAGGCTATTTCAAATGTCAAATGTATTATTTTAGTATCAATTTGTAATAGAATATATACTGTACTAACTCAACGTTGATACATATTCAAATGTGATAACTCTTGGTTAACAACCACTGGTAGTGCAATCATTCAAAGTTACGACAGTATTGAACAAATGGAAAGTTCTGGCTCTGATCGCAATCTGGATGCTTGGCAACAGGATCACACAACAGTTGCAGCATCCTACAGTTACGTGATCACAATTTGAAATTTCCCTGTCAGCTTCCCACAATGTTAATGGGGAAACCAGCAAAGAAGGCTGCAATTCATTCTAGTCAGTCTATCCCACCCAGCATCAGCCACCCTCAGCCCTGCCGTACTCACGTTGTGCATTATCAGCCACCTATGTACCCTCCCCTGCCTGGCAGCAAACACCCAAAGCTCCATTTGCATTCTCACCAAATCTTGATAGCTGTTCACACAGCTTCCCCCACCTATCAGCAGCCACTTACCTGTCTGCTGGCCTGCTTTCAAACTGCCTGAGACTTGCAACTTCCTGCTGGCTTTCCCACTGACTTGGTTTTTTTGGATGCTGGCAGGAAATTGCAAGGAGGTCCTTGCTTAGTGATCTGCAAACCTCACTTAATGATGGCAATGATGCCAGGATTGTTGTTATGAAGCAATATAGGCATATGATATCACACTTTATGACCACATCAGTTAGTGATGGAAATCCCGGTCCCAATAGCCATTGTTAACCAGACTACCTGTATGTTTTTCCATATAATTTTATATCAAAGTATCTATGCAGGAATAATATAGTGTTTATCAGTTTCATTTTAAGAACTACTTATTAGTAGCTTAACATGCAAATAAGATACAATAAAGTTCTTCCTCTTGGAAATATTCTTTACTTACTACCTTTTCTCAGAACACTTTGCAAATCTCTTTTGAGAGGATTGCAACTCAGATTTAAGAGATATGTTTGTGTGTGTAGGAGACAGAGAAGAAGTCCCATGAAATGGGGTCTGCCCCCCTCCCCATGTATAAAGCTGTCTCACTTTCCAAGCACATTTTTTTCACATTTGGAAAAAAAAAATATCCACAAACTTTAGTTCTCACAACGGATTTTCTGTCATATCACAATTCTTGACATAATTGTATTTTTTAGGAGAAAAGATAAATTCCACAGTATTAGTGCTTATTCATGCTGTTTTTCTGCTTTTCTTAGATGTACCCACATCAGCAGCTTCCCAAAAGCTATTAGAAAGCTGTATAGCGAATGGCAGCTTGGAATCCAAAGCAAAGGTAAATGGCCTAGGTACAACAATGAAATTAACGGTGCAGCGGAAGAGACTTTTGAAAGCTCCCACTTTGGCTGAACTGGGTAGCTCAGATTCAGAGGTAAGATGCATAGCAACAATACATCCCTTCAGTTTTAGATTTTTACAAGTAATCCTTGACTTATAATCGGTCATTTAGCAACCATTCAAGTTATGAAGGACCTCCCCAAAACTACTTACAACCCAGATTTTAAGTTTCAGTGGTCATCCTCCTGCAGTAAGGTGATCGTATTTTGGGTGCTTGGCAGCCAGCCTACATTTACAATTGCCATATCCTGTACTCACATGACTTCAATTTATGACCTCAAATTTTTTTTGTCAGAAAATAACGTTTACTTCTGGTTTCTGGCAAAAAACACCCATTGTGGACAATAGACTTACTTAACCAGCACTGTATTCACTTAACAACCAATGCATTCACTTAACGATTGCCGCATTTGCTTAATGATCACTGCAAAAATGATAAAATCAGGGCATAAACCCAGGCTAAATTACAGTCATAAGTTGAGGACTACCTGTAATAGGTTCATTTCCATTTACTTCTTTTATTGGTCACATTGGGACTTGTTTTGCTTAAAGTATTGTATAGTATGTTTGGTAAAAGTAATTTTCAGATAATTTTGAACAAAATGTGGTTTTATCCAATTAATCCTAATGACTATTGTTAAGATTAAAACCAAATTATAAAATTAGAGTGCAAAAGCTGCATATTTTTGCAAGGTTTAAAACGCAAAGATCTTTGTGATGTCAAATGTAGATTCAGTCTGTGTGTCACTATCCAGTTCTGGCTAGAAGATGTTAGAAAAGCCATCTATATGAAATAAATAACCTTGGATTAGGTAATGTTCCTGATGTTGGTAACATTTACATTCAGTTGGTCTACTTTGCTATCACTTCACCCTTGTTGTACAAAATCCCAGTATGAATGCTCCTTTAATATAAATACAATTGATATCTATAGTACACCACTGAATTGCTTTTAGTTTATGAAGCTTGCACATATGGACAAGAAGCTTATAGCTATCAGCCTATTATATGGCCTCTATAATATTTTCTGCTGTTTCAAGAAATAGTGATATTTTGTTTCCTAGAAACATTTTCATTAATATGACCAGGTGATCATGTATAGTTCCATATCCTGCATCATTAAACATTATGCTATATTTTTCTGTATATTGTTTATACCGTTTCTCAATTAAGGAGAAGGGAGACACCTGATTGCCATATTTTATTATTTCCAGGAGGAGTCTATACCCAAATCAGCCAGTAGTGGTAGTGTTTCTCCCTCCCAGATGGAAGATGTGTTTCTGGAGACCACATCTGGAAAAAAGAGTGAGTAAAAATGCTAAAAACAAATAAGATTTCCTGCAACAGTAGAGACATTTTGAACCTGGATGGATTAAAAGAGATTTTATTGTGTGTGTATGCATTATGATACAATATAAGATAAGATGAGATGAGATGAGATATATATGATACGACTGTACTTTCATTCTAGTTTTATGATATCATTACAGGTACTGTTAAAATATTAATTTACAAATTCTGAACATAATTCATCCTTATCAAATTTATAGTGCCTCCAAAATTCTTGCCAATATCATCTACACCACAGCCAGAAAGGAGACAACCACCTCAGAGACGACATTCGATTGAGAAGGAAACGCCAACCAACGTACGGCAGTTCTTGCCTCCCACAAAACAGAGCTCCAGATCCCTTGTAAGTATTATAGTAGATCAAATTCATCATTGGTTGAAGGGTCAAACATAGTGATTCCAGCACTGAGGGAAGAAAATCCATATGTATAAAATATGCTGTGAGGAATCCTTAGCTCAAAATTGTGAGACCTTGGAACAGCTCTTGAATTTTATTTCCTGTAAGTTGAAAGTATGATCTACATGAAATAACTCTGAACTTTTAAATTCAGGATTTGAATGTTGTGCCCAATTGCTGATGTTCTTATATAACCTTGCTAATAAAATTAATATATCTGCAAGTAAAATGTCTTCTATATGGTACATGAAAATGAATTTTTTGACTGCTGGTTTTGCATATTTATAATCTGTTATTAAAAGCTGAGACGTTTTTCTCATACTATATTTAAAGAACCTAGAATGCCATGTAGTCATATAGTATTATTGAATCTATTTAAGGATCAAAGGAAAATACAGTACATTGAGTTAGGTGACTTTATCTGAAAGTAGATTCCAATAAAACACAGTTGTCATAAGAGAATGAAATGCCTGTTTTAGGAGCTAGCAGAATGCCAAATCCTTGTATTTTTATAAGTAAGATCATTTTTTTTGTAAAAAGAATTCTTAAAATTGATAAAGAGTGAAAGAATTCAGGTTTAGGAAGAAGTGTGTGTTTGGTTTTAATAAAAAGCCTTCTTATTCTGAATTGGCTCAAGAAGATTTGATTTGGATGCTAATTTTTTAACATGCTGAAGTTAATTTACATTCCGTCACTAATTCATAGAGCAGAGCTGCTTTCTCAAGAAATTAAATGCATTTTAACTTGAATTCACTTTCTGATCCTAGATAATCTTAAACTCATTTGTCAGTTCCATATGCAGAGTACAGAACAAGAGCAATTATTTTCTAAGAAACAGCTTTATGCGAATAATGGTTTTGTACATGTGAAAATTCTTTGAAGTATAACTATACAGGCATTCAGAAATACAAAAAACTTGTGTAGCAGTTATTTCTTATGGATTACATAAAAGTTGTTTTTGATGTTTTAATTACAGAAAAAGTCCTTATCATTTCTGAGATACCTGGCATTTCTAATAAATGTGCTGTGAAAAGTCCAGTCTCATCTTTCTTTTAAAGAAATCATATAATTTTAGAAGTTGTCTGGATTTATAAGGCCCATCATGTTTTTTTTTCTTAAATGATCCTAAAAATATTATCAACAGAAAAAGTCAGATTATAACTTGGTTTGTTTTAGCAGAAGTAATACTATTTGACAATTATATTCTTATTTTAGCTCTTGAGATCAAAAGTAGAGCAAGAACTCTGAATATAATAATATAAAACTTAAACTACCTGTGTTTTTGTAAAACATCAAGTCAGAATTTTTCATAATTGTGGCTCGTTAGAAAATAAGCCGCATAACTAATTATTCCTGGTGTCTTATCTCAAAAAGTAGTTCAGACTAACAAATTATGGATGCTTTTTCTCAGGGTTTGTGTGGCATGATCTCAGAAACAATTTAATTTGGACTTCTTCCTCTTGTCTGTTCTGAGAGGAGCAAGCTAGAAAAGTCCTTCATTCAGACAACAAAGGATGGCACTGCCATCTACCAGAACTCACTGTTGGTCAAGATAAGCCCCTAAGAGCAATCAGAGCACCATCAGTATCACACATGGCATTTGCTTTGCTAAATCAGTTTCTTGGAATGGCATACAAATAGGGGGAGTGGGTAATCAATGTTAATTTAAAAACTAAAACTACAGAAGTTCCTGAATAAGAAATAATTTCATATTTTATATCTTGTACTAAAAGGAAAACCCCATATTTCTGTTGTTGTTTGGTCTTATGAGAATGAGGAGACTTCTTGTAAGTATTTATTTATTTTAAACATTTTATATATTGGTTTCCTTAAAAACAAGGCAGTTATAATGTGTTAACAAATTTAAAATAGAATGAATGTTCACAAAGCAGCAGAATCTATTCACTCCTATAGTGATTTGCCAAAATTCCCACATTCCCAGCAGGCAATGGCTGAAATGATTAAAATTTCAGACAAATACATCAACACTTTCTAAAAGTGTCAGAATTTTCTACCATAGTACCTGAACTTACTGTATATTCTGCAACTTTATTTTTTATCAGCTCTTAGTAGTTCTGTGCAGATTTCCATTTGGATGTATATGAGAACTACAAACATGGAAGAAATTGAACCCTCAGTCAAGCACATCTATATCCTGTCACAATTCTATAAAGACTCGTAGCAAATCACAACATTAAAAAACAATAATATTGATAAAATTGAAAATATAAAAAACCTAACATTCAAAATAGGCAAACCTGATGCCGGAGCTCAAACACCCAATAAAAAAGTTCCAACTTAAAATAGTTTCCAGAAGTCAACTAGAGTTGGGACCAAAATCTACATACAAGAATGCAATTTGTTTAAAGTTTTAAAGATTAAATAGCACATTTAACTGAAATGGCATAATGAATATAGTCCTATGCCAATAATTGTTGTGTTTGTTCATGAGGATGAATCCTGATATGCAAAATGGCAATTTAAAAAAATACTATGTTGTTCAAAAATATATATATACCTATTGAGCTTATGCTTTCTTCTTAGGAAATTAACTGATATCACATGTATTTTTTGTTTTTAGGAAAAGCCGTAAATATCATTTTATAATAGTTTATTAATTGTCATTGAATTCAACTGTTTCACTATCATTTAACAGTACCATTAAAGTTATATTTAAGAAAATTTTAAGCAAACAGTTTCTACGGTTTCTAAAGTATAAAGAAAATGGCATAGATAAGGTCACATTACCCTAAGTTAAATTTAACATCCTCCTTCTTCATTCCTTCCTTCAGGATTGATGGATTGTCACTGCTTATCTTCTGGTGAAAGAAATCCCACCTTTAAATAAACCTCATTTCCACTGAAAAGGAAGTTGAATGGGTTCTTCCAGCAGAATTAGCAGGGAGCTTATCTTGTGATGGTTTTTTCCAGCAGAATTAGCAAGGAGCTTGTGTTATGTCGTACAGTAATTCTGGTTGTATTGAGCTGACTTCCCAATAAGAAATAAAGAAATATGAATGCTGGGGTTATATTATCTAAAATGGTAGACAACTGTTTTATTTATGTTTAGCCTTCCTTTTTCTACTTCCTATCTAATGCTCAGGTTCCAAGGAAGACCCTTTTTGCAACCATATATACAACTTCTCAGCTTAGTTCTCATCCTTTTGAAGCAGCTTTGTTTGGAATGGCCAGAACTGTGTATTATCTATGTGAAAGAGTTTTTAACCAGTGGAAAGCCTCAAAGGTTTGCCTCCTACTGTGAGCTTTCTAAAACTGTCCTAGAAATCTTTCCTTCCCATCAAATGGGAACAGATTCCTAAGCTGTGGCAAGACATTAACGGTTTAGGATTTCACTGGAATCTGATTAAAATTTATTTCGGTGCCTGCAGAACTCTTGTGTGCATGCATTCACTGATCAATTTGCCTGGAAGTTGAAATTGTCTGGGAAAGATAATCAAACTAGAATGTAACATCAGAAGTTTATTAGAGAGGAGCTTTTTACGATCTTAACTTTTTAGAAGTAAAAAAAAAATCAAGAATAGAGAAATAGTTTAGAAAAATTAAGAATGTATTCAAACTCATAAAATCATACATGTCAATTTTGGCCAAGTTGTCACATTATAAATTAATCTTTCAATGTGTATTTACATACAGATAAATTTATATGCCAAACATTAAATGAAAGCTTAACCAAACTAAGATTTACAGATGATAAAACTTACAATTAAGAACATTTATGTTAATGTAGTTGAATATTGTTTTACACAAATTACTGCATTTTTCTCAGTGGATTGGACCAAAAATAAACAAATACATTGGGCGTTATCATTATAAAGTTTTTTACTTCACTATAGTCTTCACTTGCAAACTACGAATATATTTATTATGTGTTATTTAATAGAAATTATTCCTATATTAGTATTTCGTAGTTGACAGTATAATAATAAACTTGTTCAGAGTTGTCTGAGGATTTTAGCTTGGTAAACAACTGTATCCATCCTGCAAGCAGCTACTTGAATTGCCTCTAATGAAAAAGAAACATTAGTTCAGCTACATCAGGAATGATCTTAGTCTATTATCAATAATACAATAATGTTTTAGAAGAAAAGTCTTAGCGACAGTACTATCCTAATATTATTTGAGGTTGGAGAACTTTCTAAAGAATTTCTCTCTATTAGATTTCATTGTAAAATGTCAAATGTAAAATTCTAGTAGTACTTCAAAATGCTTTTAAAGTATAGCCAGAGTGGCTGGATAATTGAAGGTTTAAATATGGATTATTCCTATGTGAAGGATTTAGTAGACACATACATGAAGCCACCTAGGCATATAGGTCACTCCTGTTTTGAAACAAGAGTGTCTTTGTCACATGTCTCCTTTCTCTAGTATCCACACAACAAGCACAATTGTTTTTGAATGAATGTTGGGATCAATCTGTACATGTGAAGAGTTTGAAGTTCAACCGGACTTTCAGTAAGAGAACAAACACTCTGGCAATATGCTATTCAAAATAAACATCAGTGAAGCTATACTGAGAAGACCATGATGAAACATTTTCTTTAAATTTAAAGAACTAAAAATTAGTTGGAAAATAATATGTCATACTTCATGGTTATAGCTTTACCATTATAACATGAAACATTTCAATTGTCCAGTGTAATATGTAATAAGTATTAGCAAAAAATATTAATTAATACTTTAATAATTTATTACATATAATAAGGCCAGGAGAAAGAGCTGAGTTGACCAATTTGATAGAGAACAGCAATTTAGCTTTATTCTCACTTGTTCTCTCTGTACTAAACATTTCCAAACACGACTTCTCATTTTCACACTGATGTTATAGATGTTCACTGAAAGCACATTTTTTTAAAAAAAATATTTCTAAGACAAAAAGTTATGAATTTATAATCTGATAGTATTTTATAAATGAATAAATAAAAAAGCTAGTAATTTCTCAGCGATACCACTATCTACATTAATACATACATTATTTATTTGATGGAATAGCTACTTAGTCATGAAAGTTATTGGACCATGTTGTAGCTTGGGGAGAAACACCGTTGGGAAATAGATAAGAAGGAGCTAGTTCCTCCTCCCACACCTTTTCTAATTAATCAGCCCTTAAAGGGCATTGGAGTTTTAAACAAAGTTATGAAATAAGCAGCAAAAGACAAGTTGTTTAATAATTTAAACTAATCATTTAAATAGTTGAATATAACTACAGTATTTAATAATTATCAGAAAGGAGGAAGGACAATGATAGTTTTTTGGAAAGGGACTTTCATTGATCTGCACTGCAATAGACAGATATAGTTTAGTATCAGTGACTGAGCAAGGCATTCAGATATGGATTGAAAGGCAACAATCTTTCAAATACGTGGGGGCAGACCATTTTGGATTAGAGTATCAACATATATAAAGAATCCTACCATCACATTCCTTGATTTTTTTTCTGGGTAATTGTATATCCTATCCTACATCAACTTTTATGTATTGAGTCTTGGAGCCCATGACTAGCCACTTGTGATGGAAATTTAAAACACTAAAGAAATTACTATTTTAAAATAAGTTAGATAATTCTGTAAAAGCAGTAAATAAATAAAACTGAAAGCAAAAGATGAAAAGTTATAAACACCTATAAAACATGAAGACTTTAGCATGTGGTAGGGGGAAATAGCATTTTCCAGTGTAATACTAAGATTAATATAGTATAGCAAACCACACTAAATTTTGACTCTGAAGTCACATCATCTTCAGTATGAATAAGTTGATAGAAAAGGCACAATTTGTAAGCATCTTGAGCAAGATGAAGTTTGTATTTGAGATCCATTTTTAGATTGGTAAGATAGCTGTTCTTTAAAATATGGTGGCTGTGGTATACTCTCTTTACCAGTTCTGCATTGTAAATTTTTTCTGAACTGAAAGACAGAATTATAAGATACTTAAAATAGCATCATATCTGGTTGGATTTTGCAGCATTATGCTGCATTTATAATATGAATTTGTACCATTTTTCCTTAAGAGCTATAAGCAACATAGATTGCTTATGAATGAATGAATGTCCTAATTCATCTACAGACTACTGATTATTTATTTTCCTCTTGCTCCCAACCTTGTAGTCTTTCTTTCACAGAGTAAAATAAGGCTAGCATATCATTTTATATAACTTAGAAATGAAATTATTTGCAACAAATAATTTAGCTAGGGCAAGAATTCTGTCTTTCAACAAAATCTATGGCAAGAATCCATGAAAGAGGTGAATTTGGGATGTGCATTTTATTCCGTGGTATCAACAATTCTGGTGATTTACTCAACTCATTAATAACCTATTATGGTGTTTTACTGTTGAAGAAAGATCTATATACTACTTCTTATAACAGATTGTAATGGATTGATATTCATGCTAAGAGCAGGAATATAAGGTGTACAAATTTGCAACTAATTGTTTAAATATTCTATAAAGAAAATTATACATATAATTTTACTGTGTTAAAAAATACCACAGAATAAAAATTTCTTCTGGATTGGATTACTAACTGTTTCTTTGGCTTCTCTAGGCATCTTAAGGTATCAAAGACACCATCATAATGATTGGCTTAATAACCATCAAAGGCTTTTTCAGGGACAACCTCTTTAGCCTGCATCTCTGAAGTCTTTGCTGTTTTGATGCCTGTGATCATATAAATGTTCTCTGATACTGATTGTAAAATCTATTTCTTTTAAAATTACTAACCAGGTGGCTGGCTCTTTACATGGATAGCTGGGAAATGCTCTGAGAAAGACAGTTGAAAAAGCTTTTTTTTTTTCCCTTTCAGGAGGAGTTTTGCTACCCAGTGGAATGCCTGGCTCTCACAGTGGAAGAAGTAATGCATATCCGTCAAGTGCTGGTAAAGGCAGAACTAGAGAAGTATCAACAATACAAAGATGTCTATACTGCCCTAAAGAAGGGAAAGGTACAGCTAACTGTGTTAATTTTCCACAGATACGGGCAGTGGCGTATGGAAAAGAAATTATCATACACAGGAAGTTAAAATTTGCAGAGATGGGTTCAAATATTTGTGCAAAAGGAAAAGATTAGATCTGTAAATTGAGACTTATTCTTCTGAAAATAGTAGAGTGCCTTCTTTTAACAAATGTTCAATAGGGGACACAACAGTGATTTTTGCAGATTTTATCATATCCTGTTCCAAATATCGTTCAGCCTTCTGGAGTAGCTTTATATATAAAGCATTGACCAAGATTCACAGAGGAAAGGAACAAAAATCAGTACATAAATCACCATCTTCACCTTCTCAAACACCAGTAAAATTCTGCAGAGCATAAGTTTGAATCCAGTTCTTGAATTCAATGGTAGTTCTTCTTCGTCAGCATGCTTCTCTATTATGCTGTCAAAATGCTTAATATAGAAGATGATATGTCAGTTAGCAAAGGATTATAAAAGCATTTAATGAGTATTTTATAAAGAGTGAGAAAAACTATTTTAATAAATGTAATTAAAGTGATTAAGTGTACAACTACTTGATTATGTATCTTTGCTGAGGTTTGTTTACAGACATCAATAGTCTTATCTTATTCCCATTTTTGTAGCTCTGTTTTTGTTGTCGCACAAGAAGATTTTCTTTCTTCACTTGGTCCTATACTTGTCAGTTTTGTAAAAGGTAAACACATGGCTATCATTAAAAATTGCTGAATAATACAATGATAGAAATGAAATACTTATTAAACCATTTTTAAAGACTTTGTTGTTACTGGTTTTGCATATGAAAGGAAGGAGGAAAGATAATTTTTGGCGAGTAAAGAAGAATTTGAACAGATTAAAGGTTTGCACCTTTAAAGATATAAATTGGAAACCTTTGCAGCTAACAATGCTAATTATGGCATATGATGTTCATGCCAGCTAATATAAAATGAGTAAACAGCAAGAGACATCTTTACTTAGAAAATAGATTAACGGTCTTGGTCTTGTAAGCCTGTATACAAACTGCATGCATTTATACTGTACATGGATTGTTATATTGCTCTGAAAAATAACATTCCTCTGAATTTTTCATAATACACATTTATAATTTGCTTTCTGCATTTCTGAAATAAGAGTCTGCTGTAATCTCAAATTAAATCTTTGTCCAGTTTTTAAATCGTCTTAGGGGAAGAGAATTTTGTTCCTTCTATTTCTGGTTTTAGATTGTGATATATTACCCAAAATCTGTGAGCATACTATTTGAAAGATGCTCATTTTGGCTATTGAGGTTTTTCCTCTTTATTTCCAAAGAGTTTCTACAAGTTAAATCATCTTAGTGAAGCAGACTAGATTTGAACAGGAGAACTAATAGCCCACATGGGAAGCTGGGATGGATCTAGAAAGGGCACACAAGCTTCTGGTATCCAGTTCCAGTCTTCTGGCTTTTTTCCGTGTTTTTTATTCATGCTGAAAAATAAAATAACCAGTGAATTTCAAAAATAGTATGTAACTCTTAAAATATTTTTGTAAGAAAAATGCAATATAGACCCCAGAGACAATTTTACTTTGAACTAAGAAAGCCAATCTTTTTTTATGTTGTAGGCCTGTATGTTCACAGTGCTGTAAAAAAGTAAGTTTAAAAACAAAAATCTAAAATCTGTTTATTAAACTGTTTCTATTTGTTTAAATATTTCATTTTTATCTGTTCGTTTTAAATTCTGACTTTTCTTTTGGAATTCAAGATAGTATATATAGTATTCCATCTCAAATTTTATCCGTCTCCAATTTTATTCCTAAAGAAACATAAGAGGTTTTTTTGAATGAGATATTGTTAGTGGTCAAATGTCATGCAATGAACTTTAATGACGAGTTTTGAATATGAGAATCTGCACTTGCTTTTGGAATATTATACTTACAAGATAGTTGAAAGTTTTGTTATCATAGCATTTTACTAAGGTTCATAAAGTCAATACAATATTGTTGAGAATATATTGGAGTAGGGTGTTATAAATGGTATGGCATTTGCAGTCTCAGGGCAATTATATCTCAGCATTGTTCCCCTGCTTTTATGACAGATGCGCCTACCATCAAAGCCATATTCCACCCTTCCAATTTTTTCCCTGGGACCTTCTGCTTTACAGAAAGGAGAAAGCTTTATGAGGCCTGATAAAACTCCCATCAGCCATCATAGGTCACTGAAGGGCATACCAAGGTAAGTTATGCTTATAATTAATAATGGGGGAGAGAGACAGACAGATAGACAGAGATTCATTTCTTTCTTCTTTCTCACCTTTCATCTTTCCAAATTAATGGATATTAACACTAACACTAACTCAAATTAGAGGTGGAGAAGAAGCTAGAAATACGGAATTCAAAATGGCTTTCTCCAGAGACTATGGAGGAAGATTCCAAATAAATTCATACCTTGGAATTTCTCCTCCCAATATGGAGGTGGCAATTGGTCAGTCACTTGAAATGTTCCCAACACTTCAATTCTAAGCCCCCACCCCCACCCCTATCTTCTGCCCAGTCACATGACCCAGAGTGTAGCTATTTCTAAAGGCTGAGAAAGAATTCTAGAAGTTATGGTCTAAATGTTTTCCCTATCTTAAAATAAATAATATTTTAACAAACTCCTAGGCAGATCTCAAAAGGACACCTCCCCTTCACATTCCTTTAACACCTTCCAGAGTAACTTTCTGTGAAGTACACCATAACGTTCTGTGAAGAAGGCAGACAACCAAAGCATCCTTCTTGGAAAGTTTTTGTGCATATATAAACCTTTTTGAATCTTCACTTGTATAAACCCCTGTGCATGACACCATCATCTCACATACATTAAGACTCCTGAGCTCTGCCAGTCTTGTATTTGGAACAGGTAATATTTCTGAAAACACTAGTATGATAGGCTTGATTACAGTTTGTTTTATTAACCTAAATTTAAGACTATCACACTATATTTCCTTATATTATTGGTGCCAACAAAATGACTGTTGTTCCTTCCCTGCACTATCTAGTATTTTACATCTAGCTGACTCATGATGCCTAGATGCCTTTGTACCCAATAGGCAAGTCATGATGTGATCTACATGTCAAGTTCACACAACTGAGCAAGCTCAGGGAAACTTAAATGAAGTGTCTTTAATACTAGTCTGAAGAGTAAATACACAATTTTGGAAACTGCAGGAGTTTCCAAATCTCATTAGTGAGTTCATTAAGACAGAGTCTGTTGGAATATTTTGAATTGTTTCTTGTCATCGGGATATCATGCTGTTTATGAGCTACCAACAAGCTCTTATCTCTTGGTTAGATCTAATATTCCTTCCTCTCCAATCTGTCATACCACATGTCTGTCAGAAGCCATCTGTCTGACATCCCATAGGAGTCTTCTTAGTAAGGAAATGGGTCTCTGACCCAAGGATTGTTCTCTGCAGTGGGAACATCTGCCTCATTCTTGAAATGAGGTCCTCCTTCCCTCAGTCTCTCAGATAGCAAGAGGATTTCCTATTCCTACATCCTATTTTCATTAAATTTGCATTTTTCCTTTCTTGAATATATTTACTGAAATACCTTAGCCCTTCTTGCCTTCTTTTATAATTCATGTGTTAAGTCTTTCTTTTCTTACCAGCAATTTTTTTCCTGGGGATTAAATGTTCTGATTATATAAAATTGGTTATTTTTGTGTTGTTGGGTGACCTTGGGCCAGTCACTCTCTCTCAGTCCTGAGAAGAAGGCAGTGACAAACTTCCAAAACACTGTGCCAAGAAAACTGTAGGGACTTGTCCAGGCAGTCACCAGGAGTCAACAGTGACTCGAAGACAGAAACAAACAAATTAATAAAATGACCTTAAGAAATTCAAGTGACTTATTTCAGGTTTCTTTTTTCTCTTTACTCCAAATGTTAAGAACTGGAAAATCTTGAAAAGGTTTCTGAAATTCTTTAGAATGATTGGAAAGATGAATGGTACTAATAAGATCAGAATTGTTCTTTTATTTTTAGGTTGTCCTCAAAGTCAAAGTCTGTAGATAAGTCAATTGAAGAACCATTTTTTCCAAAAGAACTCATGGAGGACTGGAGCACCATGGAAGTGTGCGTGGACTGCAAGAAGTTCATTTCGGAAATCATTAATTCAAGCCGCCGCAGCCTCTCTCTGGCTAACAAACGAGCCAGATTAAAAAGAAAAACACAGTCATTCTACATGGCATCTCCAGGCACTTCAGAATACTCTCCTTCTGAGAGGACTATCAATGAAATCTGAGTCTTGTGCCTTTCTCCTTATTTACTCTTCATGAGATCCCTAGAAAACTCATCAAAACCAGAGCATCATTCTTTCCTTTGTTCTACTTGATCATTTACATTTTCATTAGCTTATTGGTTTCCCTGCTCTATATAATTTATAAAAAGATAAGAAATTGTCCTACCACAAGGCCAGCGAATATGCTTGTTTTATTCGAGGAAAGCAACTATACTAGATTGTTGTCTACTTGTATATGTTCAGTGTACAAAGGAAGTCTTTATTTGTACTTTTCCTATTTATCCCTTAGTTATTTTTAAGATGAGTGTCTATGTATGTATGTATATATATATATGTAGATAGATCTAAAGAAAAACTAAATTATGGTGTTAGTATATTTTAAACCATATTGGCATTTGCTACCAGTTAAATATTAATCATATTTTGTTAACTTGATGTACCTAGTCCCCTATTGTACAGAACTTGATATCTTATAGCACAAGATTAAGAAGGATTTGCTAATATGCTGGAAATGGTTCATCAATCCATACCATCTCAGTCTTAGTATAAAATACTGAATAAGCTGGAAGCCTGAATGGGTAATTATTTTCCTGCAGCTTCTGCTATACTATAATAAAATTAGTCTGTTCAAAATAATATTTTTTTCTCCTGTTTGGAATGTACTCTGAATATTAGTGATAGTGTTACCTGTAGCTTTTATAAATAAACAAAAGAAAACCCTTTATAGAGACAGAATGCATTATAAGTTTAGTTTTTAATATGAATGAACTTTTGTAAACTAGGGTTCTCTGGGTAATAATCCTGAGAAAGTTAAGATAAATATGTATATTTGTATTATAGAGCAATACGTAAGTACTGCTGTAGCTAAGAATATGGGAGCATGTCTATTATTAACCCCATTTTTACAGGGGTAAGTATCTTGGCTGTAAAGATTTTTTTCCTGGAAATTTAGGACAATGTGTCTCGGATTAAGAAGTGTTTTTGTTTTCTGGTTTTCAAAAGGTTGGAGAAACACTGAATGTTTTTAAGTTAAAATACTACTGAACATCACATTTTTGCACTGTTTTATAGTCAGATTTTTTAAAACAAAACTGGCGCTTAGTATGGATTTGGGTTATTTTTATATATATAACAGCCCATTTAATCTGTTTGCAAATCATCTGTGGAATTACTCTGCTATGTTTTAATGACCTAGCTTATGTTTAGAATCAAAATACAATATATGATGGGAAAAGGTTGCATTTTTATATTGTAAAGAGAATGAGTGACACCTCAGTTCACTTCCAAAATAGGCAAAATTTTCTATATAAATTACCAACCAGATATTTATGAAATATACTATCAAAATTTTTGTCATCTTAATCCTTGAGCGTTAATATTTTGATTTGATTATTCCTTGAATACCCCAAACAATTTACTGTTACATAACCTATCTGAAATTCTGAATATTAAATTTAATATCCAAGGATCAAGAATTCATCTATTTTGGGGATGAATATTGGGCTCCCATAGAAACTGTCACAACAAATTGTAGATGACAAACATCTTGTGATGAACTAACTATATAAAAAAGTAATAAAAATAAGTCAGCAATCTTTCGAAGAAAGAGGCATTATTATGCAATATCCCAAATAAATATTAAATAAGGCATAATTTTAGAAAATTAAATAGCTAAAATTTCATGCATAATACAACAAATCTTGAAAGATTTGATGATCCTACAAGATCATAGATATTTGAAATTTATTGAAAACTATGTTAGAGTTGTGATAACATGAGCGATTACTGACAAGCTCCAAGATAATTAGTAATCATTTCTGTTAATCAGCAAATAATTTCTTAGGTTCTTTGCTCTCTTTAACTTAAAATCTACACACACATTCTATCATCAAGCTGGTAGTCCTTATTACCCTGAGTTATCTAGAATCTTTCCGTATTGTACATTCACTTCCAATGCAGCTGAACTTCTAGCTATATCACCTAGTTCTCATTACAAAATAAAAATAGGTTATTTTTATCTACAGAAGCCATCTTTTGAAATGTAGGCTACAATACTTTAATAAAATTTAATAAAATATTACAGGATTTTATTAAATCCTCTTTATCAACAAAGATTTTCCATAGTTTTCACATTTTTTTGTGTTTTATGTGGGGCCAAGGAGAACATAAAAAGTTAAGTATTATATTAATATATCAATTTATTTCCTAGCAAAGTATTTACAAAATTCTGGTATGTGAGATTAACCTGAAATGTTTAGGACAATAGTTGGATAGTTGCCTACATATATTTGATGTACTAATGAAATGAATGAATTAAAGATTTTGTATTGGGCTGCACAGGAGAAATATAGGTAATCCTTAACTACCACAATTGGGATTGGAGTTTCCATTGCTAAGCAAGTTAAATGAGATGCCCAATTTTACAATCTATTTTGCAAAAGTTGTTAGATGAACCACTGCAGTTAAGGGAATCACGCAGCTGTTAAGCAAATCCACTTCCCCCCCATTGATTTTGCTTGTTGGAAGCCAGCTGGGCAGATCACAAATGGTGATCACATGATCCCAGGACATTGCAACCATTGTTAAAATACATGCTGGCTGCCAAGTGTCTGGATTTTATTTTGATCACATGACCATGGAGATGCTGCAGCAGTCGAAAGTGTAAGTCACTTTTTTCAGTGCCTTTTGAATAGTCCTAAAATGAATGGTTATAAGTTGAGGTCTATCTGTATTCAGCAGTTGTATATAGACAATGTTTTACCAATTTGTACTAAAAAAAATAGTTTACTCCAAAATTCCATACTTCAAACTAAAAAATGAATAGACAGTTGTAATATTTTCCATTTTCCTGATCTGTAACTACCCCCGTCATAATTACATTATGCTTACATTCACAGTATAAATGTCAGAACTGATTTAAATAGCTTATTTTCTATTAAGGCAAAGTCTACTGAAGAAGAAATTGTATAAATGAAAATCTATTACTTCCCTTTTCCATTTTTCTTTATAGCTGGTCTTAAATCTGTTTATATATTATCCCCTAGTAATTGCTTATCAACATATGCTATGTAATTCAAAATCAACTCCAGTGTAAGGTCCCATAAATTAAAAAACAAATACATTCATAGGAACATTGTCATCTGGCTGGAATTTTATTAAACTGAGGCTCTCTTCTCTACCTCAAATTGTTTTGTAATTTAAACCCAAGTTAATGCTTTGCCAATGCACAGACTCTTCCAGCAATTTGGCTGCTTTGAAGGTTTTCACAGTGTGTCTCTGCATAAGAAAAAGTTTTCAAAATATTTGTCCTGAACCTTACAGAGAATATGGCGTCAATGCAGAAGGGTATTTAGCTTGTACTGGTCCACTTTGTGAAGTGATTGTTTTTTTAATGCTTTGCACAAATGTCATGTGCCTAATTGGTTGAGAATATGACAAAGCTGTTTCACAAGCCAAATGTTCCATGACTGCATGCTTTCAAAAGAAAAGTACACCCCAGGAGGGAAAAATCAAATAGAAGACTTGGATTACTGTACAGATTCTGAAAGCACATCTGATCATCACGTGATGTGTGTCAAAGTTAAATGAACCATTTGCAAGTTACGTATTTCTGTTATTTGCATTCCTATGGTTTATATGAGTTCCCTTTTCTGTTTCCAAGATAAATTCTTGCCAAAAGTGGGAAACGTAAAAAAAAGACCATCACTAAACCTAGATTTGGCAGCCACTACACTTTCCAACCAATAAGAGAATTAGATGAACTCTTGGGTGAGATGAACTCTTGGGTGGGTCAGAATCCTATCCTACCACTCACTAGGAAGGGACGTCAAGCAAATGTCTTTCTGCAGTTCAATGCTATTCACAAGTGAAACATAGGAAACCTTAAGACATTCCAGCATCTGACCTTGTATCACAATACTGTAATCTGCACTAAGCTTCAAAGCCCATTGGCATGTATTGAACTGTACTTTTTAAATGCATGAAGATATGTAAAATAAGAAAATACAATGTCACTTTAACAACTATGGATTGGATACAGAAGTCCTTGATTTGGCTGAATCCATAGGGAAAAGCCACATATACATAGCACAATTCTTTTTGCCAATGTCCATTTCTCAAAATTTGATCTGGAAGACTGGGGAAATCCTAAACCTTTAATGAGATGACAGAGAGAGCTGCTATAGAAATTAGGTACTCAGCTTTCCACCAGCAAGAATCCTTTGCTGGAAACTGCTACTGTCAAGAACAATAATTCTTCGCTTGTACAGAGATGACTCTATATTCAAATTAAGATAATGATATTCACATTTTAGATTTTGTTCCTGACTGAAGACTTTTTTTTTTTTTTTGCAAATGAAGCTATTGCAAAAAAGCTTTGAGACATGTATCTGAAGGGAAACTATTGTCCTTTTTTTCTTCATTGACTTCCTTCTGTTTTGAATCTTGCTTTCTGAGAGGGCTTTGCTCACCTGGAAATTCATCCAGGCCAAGGGTAGAAGAAAATCATAATATGGTAAAAATAGGAACAAATGAAAATCAAATGCATGAAGGATTATTGGAGAAAGTTGAGTTTACTAGAGCTGGATTTAGAATACTGAGTAAAGCCATTGTATGTTACAGTGATATTTTTAAAATGATAAGGCTTCATCGCTTGATTATACTCAGAAAGTACTTATTGCTGCAGTGATGACTTTATCTTGCACTATAAATGAGAAAATGATGGTAATGAAACAGAAGTTATATAGCCTTCTTTTCTGCCAGTAGACAATATGTTTGGGGAAACAAGTCAAAATCATTTTTTTACTTTTTTCCTACTATCTTCTACGTAGCTGTTTTTTAAAAAAACAATACAATACAGGTCACCAAAAGTCAGGATGCTTACAAGGAAAAAAATTGCACACTTGTTTAGTTTTCTTTATTGTGTTTCTGAACCTGCAATGGTACCTGGCAATGATTTGAAAAGGAAGCACAACTGTAAATTCTTTAATCTACCTTATGTCACCATGCTGGCTACCCTGATGGATAACGATTTGTAAATGAAAAAGGCAATAATTCTTTTTCTGCTTGTTTTCCTTTTACATAATATTCACCTGCAGTTTATGGATTATTAAACTCATAAAAAAGTTGTAATATTGTTTCTGTCTCATCACCTGAACACAATTATCTATTATATGCACATACACAAAAATAACATTTTAAAATGTTATAATCTCTAGGACTATTTTTATGAATTATATTTCAGGGAGTGGATTGGCCTGAATAGGATAAAACTCAAGAGAAATAAGAATTACCCTTGGTCTGAATGTATAGTTTCTAGCTTTTAGGAAAAAATATAAACACTATTTTATGTATTCCCCATTGGTTTAATTTAAGTGTTTCATACAGTAGGTTATGCAAAATTAAGGAATATGCACACCTAACTATTCTTTAGTTTAGTGACTCATTCTAGAACATTTGCTACCCTTGCTAGTGCTTTTTTAGTTTTTATGACTCAGCATATGGTTTTCCTGTTCAACAACTGACATAAAAACAGACTGCTTTCCTAAAGAAAACAAGACTTTTTTGCCATCTCTAAGTGGGTCATATTAATTTATAATTTCAGAAATTATGGCATTTAACACTTGAGATCAAATGATTTGCCGCTTTGTAGAACTCACAATCAAATCACAAAATAATGACCTAGAATAGAGTGTCTCAACGTTTCACCTCATTACAGTAATGTTATTTGAAAAGTAGTTTCTGCCTTTCATCAATCATGGCAGTTTTCTACATTAACTAAAAGAATGTAAACCAGAGATTTTGATGTGATTGTCCGAAACAGAAAACGAACTAAATGTTTTCCAATAATCAGTCTATTCATCTCTATTAAAATCAAGATTTCTTTATTCTAGAAACTGGACCCCATTATCAGGGAAGATAGCATTTTTCTATTTTAATAGCCAATCAGATAGAAAATAAAATTTGCACAGATGTCTCTGATCATGGCATAAACAGTTTCACCTATTCCAAATACTTCTACATCTTTTGAAGATACATAGTTTTGTCTTAATTTACACTGAGGAATTTTTAAATGCAAACAAAAAACACATGCAAATAAAGAGGTTACAAGACCAATTAAGGACCAAATGGATTCAAGGACAGTATAAACTAAACATTTGAACATGCAACTAACATTGGCAGATAATGAACCTGAAAAGACACTTGCATACAGTCACTATTAGTTTCTGGAAGTGGTGCAGAGCATAAAGGTTACACTTCTTCAGTTAAACTGAAAATACAATCTTAAAACTATTATTTTCCTTGCCAATTCTCCTTGATCTATTTTACTCTGTTAGAGTGTGAGATGGAGTAAGTTGGAGATCAGTAACATTTTGCTTTTGCTTTCTTAGTGAAAGGCTTCATTCAGCAGGGTTCATAGGAAATTTCCAAATCAGTAAGATAGCAATGTTGCATCCATCATCTTGCACATTTTGACACTATAGACCCTGTTGATCTCTTTCATACATAGGGAATTATTCCTGCCATTAGTGTTGCTAATTACATAGTAATGCCAACAAATGAATGAGTAAATGTAAAATGGTGGTATAGATAAATCTATAGACTGGAAAAGCCTTGGCAACAGAAAGAATTTAGCAGGATTACGGATAGGGAATAGGATTGTAGTTTTCCTATAGTAAAGACATTCTTCAGTTTGTGTTTCTCTGAAAAAACTCTGGAAATAAAGCAATTATGTGCCTTACACCTTCCCCTTTTAAAGCTTTGAAATTACTTGGATATGCTATGATTTAAAATGTTTCCTGCTTCCAATTTCTAGAGAAAATACCACAAAGCAGGTTTTCATTCTTTAGTGAACTACTTGTAGAAAAATAAAAACTTAAATTATATGAAATGTAAAGATATGCAAACAAAACTTAGCTTTAAAAATGACTGAAAACTAATTCTATTTCATGAAATCTTTGTAATATCCAAGCCAATTTTTACTGCATACTCTCTGAGATACAAAGTTACAGACTCCTTTCATAACTTAAAACAGCTGTTCTCCAACTTGTCTTCATTACTAAAACTATTTCTAATTTGTAATAGAAAGAACATTCCATTGAATTTTGAAATTCGGAACCAATATTTGAACTAACTTTATGAAGGCTATTGGCTCCAAAGAGCAATAATTTGAGTTTCACAACATGTGAAAGATACAGTTCTATGGATAGGATAAACCCAATTCCCAAAGCAGGATGTGAAATACAGTCTGGTATAGAAAACCTTTTTGCAACCTTCTAATCCATGATGTGAAATAATGAGTTAAGCAAGCAAGTTATCCTAAGTGTATGAAAATATCTCTACCGGCTTTTTATTTCTAGTATTTCCCTCTGAAGTATTAGTTGGCTTTTGACAAATGATTAGAACAAACCCATTTCAAAATAAATAATGCACTAAATATTCAGATTACTATCTTATAGCAAAGTATCTGCTCCTCTATTTTTAGCAGTGCTTTGAATATAAATAAAGAGGTAAAATGTTGGCATTTCTTGTTCATCCCTCTACAAACAGTGCAAAAATAATACCACAGAAACCTGAAACAAACAATGTAACTCGCCAAGGAGCACTGTTTGGTATATTCTCCAAACAGGCTTCTTTAAAACAAGAGGCCATGCTGCAAAATTAAGGAAATTAATCAGAGCATGCCTCTACAGTATATCTCTTTTGGATCAATGTTTTTCAAACTTGGTAACTTTAAGATATGTGGACTTCAACTTCCAGGGAGTTGAGGTATACATATCTTAAAGTTGTTCAACTTTGAAAAATATTATTTTGGACTGGCATTCCACCCCCCTCCCTCAAATAAACACTGAAGGTGGCATTTAATTTCCTTTTACGAGGTGCAATGACAATAAAATAAATAGCCATTATAGGTTGACAGAATCTCCATATTTTGTTACCTGTGCACTTCATCAAAGAACTACAACTGTACTTAAAAAAATAAATGCTAAGATTCAAGCAGCAAAAAGAGCAGCACATTCAAAAGTGTATTCACATAGCTCTTCATCAAAACACAGCTTGGTATTTATGTAGACTAATCTTCAATCATTCTTTCAGTTTGAAATCCATGTAAATAGCTTGAATTTGAGGTCGCTGTCCTGTGGAGAATTAGGTATCTATATCTTGAATCCATATAAAAACATAAAAATAAACTTAACTATAATGCAGTAGGTCCCCCAAATGCATCAGTGTTAAGAGGAAAAAAAAGTGTCCTGTAAAACTGATTATAAATTAAAAAATTCTCTCATTCTCTCTGCCTGCCTATATACCGTATGTATATCAAAAAAGTATTTGCCTCAGCAACAACAATAACAAAAAATTAAGTGGAAAAATAAAGATTGTGACAGTTCATCAGTTTTCCATTGAAGCAGCTGCCATTGTTGATTTCATACTGTCTCGTGTTGAAGTTAGTTCACCAATCACCCATTCTAAAGCTTCACGCCCCTGTAGTGGAAAAAGAAAAGGTTATTTGACTGACTGGAAACAATGCTAAGCATGTAAAACTTTCTTCTGGCAGAACCCAAAAAGTTTCAAAAGCAAAGTAATTTGTTTCTGCCTAGATTATGAAAAAGCTGCTGTATTATTAGTCCTACTGAAATGATAGGGTTATTGCTTGGACTTCCTTCTCTTAAGAAACGTCATTAATTTTAACTTGCTTTGAGAATTTTTAATTTTTAACCTAATGACACAATTTTTCTGTAAAAAATGCCCTTGCCAATTAAATTACAAGATTGCATACCAAGAATGCCAATAAATAACTTTCTCAATCCAGCAAATCAAATATGAAGTTTCAAACATTTCTAGATGACTGTTAAAGATAGATTGATTTACAAATATTTCCAGAACAAAACATATCAATGACCCAAGTTCTAATAAAAAAGTTGTGAATTTTTTTCACAAGCCACAATACTAAGAATACTGGAATTGCTGTACTCACCATTACCACACAATCTCAACAAAGAAAATACATTAGAGTATCTTTTTGCTTTTTCTAAATGAGAAAATGCTCTGATTTATTTTTCTCCCTTCCGGAATTGAAATAATACTTCAAGGGCTAGTCCTAAAAAATAATACTACGTAAGAATTCTACAGTCCTTGAGGTTATCTCAAAAGCCAGTTTGTCACCCCTCAGACCCCAGGAAAAATTGCTAGCTATTTCCAACTTTGAGAAATTCCCTAACACTAAAGATTAAAAGAAGACATTACAAATCATGGTGAAGAACATAATGAATCCAGAACCTTTCAACATGTTCACAGCCCTGGAGTTCCTGAAATAAATTTTGTATAAAATTTTAATTGAAGAAATGGTTTTAAAACTAATACAAAACCCTACCTAATTTATGACTATTGAATATTCATATATAGCTAGTGCTGTTTTACTAATATTTTGATCTTTTAAGTTAATACAAAAACTTGTACATCAACCTGTTTTAAGGACACTTAGGTAGATTATAAATAGCACAACTAAAGTTTTACTTCTAGCTCAAAATGACTTCCAACTAGTCATTTATTGCCACTTAAATAAACTTATAGACAGTGAATAACTGCCAATTATGTTCAATAAAATTTCAGGCTTTTTAAATTATCATAAATACTTAGAATCAAATCACCTTAGAGAGCTAAACCTACACCTAAAATCTCATCAACATGAAGTAACAGCCATGTCACAAGTACACGCAGTGAATTAGCTGGCAACAATTTATTTGCAACAATTTGTCATCAAGTGCTAACTATATCCAAGCCCATTCTACCTGCACATACTCCAGCTAACAAGTTTACTATAATTCTGTAAAAATATGTGAGGTAGGAATACGAAACTTGATTAGAATTGCTTACCTATGCCCCACTTACTATGATGACTGCAAAACCTACCACTCAAATCAGGAATTTTGTTTTTATTAAAAAAATAATCAGATGGTGCTTACTACTCTGTCTTCATCTGCTAGATTATTGTACTATTTGCATGTATTGTCCCTAAATTGCAAAAATATGAATTCTTAATAGAAGTTTAATTATGATATGAGGAAAAATGCACCAAGTAAATATAGCAGATCCAAGGCTGAGCCTTAAGAACTATCCATACTCCAACTTTAGGCCTGCAACAGTATAATTGATCCTGAATTTATGATATCTTAGCTGCCATGACTTTTCCCAAAAGAATCTAGGGTGAGGTCATTATCTAAATTCAATACCACAGTATCTCTTAATAAAAGGCTTTATGGTAGAGATATGACTCAAATTGCATAATTATTAAAGAGCATCCAGATCAATTATCTATTTTCTCAGGTAGTTTCACATTTTTGCAAACTATATTCACTGTTAATATTTCCATATTTTTTGATGCCAGCAAACATGTCAACGTTTTTCATTCTAAATCAACCATCTTTAAACTACTATCTATCTGAACATGCTTCAGTATTGCAAATTACACAGTTCAGATCTACTTTTAAAAATTCTAAATAAAAATCTTTTTAAAAATGATGAAAATTAATCATCAACATAGAAAAATAACATGCTGAAAGAAGACATTCACTGGTTGATTGCAAAACACAGCGTGAACTGTTGCATTCTTACAGTGCAAGATATATCAATTTTCAGAAATTTTAAACATTACTTCAAATCTCTCACCTATGTCAACAAAATTCCAGGTTAAATAAAATTTGGGGATGTATATTTAAATAAATTCTAGGAAGGGAAATAACAATTTGATTTCAGCAAATTCCAATTATACTGATAAATAAGCGAATGTCTGAATTCCCAAGTTTATGTTGCAATGAACAGTTTCATTTACAGCAGTTGAAGGAGACACATAAATTAAATTACTTTTAATAAACTTAGTTATGGGTAGAGCAATCCTGACAAAGAATTAGTTTGCAATGTACTTCAAAGTAGTGTATTAATATACACTGTAAGCAAGCAGATTTGCCAATAGACATGCACCTTTAATATGTTTATGCATATGATGGTAGTACAAAATTGACACAATGTTAATGGTTTTTAATTTAAGGGCAACTAAAAAGATATGGTGAACATGTACCATTTTCATACTATATACACACACTCCAAAAATCACAGTTTTTAAAGAAATTACAATATTGCACCATCTTTGTTGAACCTATATTGCACCTATAAATTAGGATATTAAGCAAAGAAATTAAATTATTCTATTCCAAGATTGATAGAAAAATGTAAAAAGGGCCCTATCTAAACTTATTTCTAGAGATAACTGACAATTTTATCAGAAGCTAAAATATGTACCTTTGAAAACAAGTTATTCAATTGGAGAAAAATAAAATCAATACTTTTATTATGGAAAATATTACTTTATTAGTGTGAATTCAAGTAACATCTCAGTTAATGAGCTGCAATTCATTGCATTCCAATGAACAGCAACTGGTTGTTTATGCCATTAATTGTATTAATCTAGATACAAGCATAATTATAAATTATAACTAAAAAGTTCTAGCTTTTCCTTATATGCAAAGGAGAATGAAAAAGAGAAAGCCATTTTAATCTCAAGAATATGCTAATCATTTTAGCTTGAATTAGATGCGATTGGAGCCAAAATGTTTTGTATGACTGTTCACTTAAAAAGCACAAAAGCTGTCATGTATCTGTAAACAATGAAGATAACAATATCTACTGCATTTATCCAAAGGAAGACAGTGCTGAATTGAAGACAAGGTTCCCCAAGGCTACCAATTTTCAAAATAAGTAGATAGAAAAATATGATTCTAGACAAAATTTTATGCCCAGGGTTTACATTTAAACCAGGTTAACTCACCAGCTGGAAATTTTCCACATTGCCAATAAATGAATATGTGATGGACAAAAAATAAAAATAAAAATCAACACTCCAGAAATAGACAAAACTGGGGCTACTGAATGAATAACTTTCTAAAATCAATAGACTGTAATGCAAATAAATCCATTCATTCATCCACATATATCAAACATTCTGTCACATAAACCACTCTCCAGATGAAGAATCATACTGGAAGGAAGGAAGGAAGGAAGGAAGGAAGGAAGGAAGGAAGGAAGGGGATGAGGTCAAGGAAGGAGGCAACTGTTTGTGAAGGAAAGAAAAGAGAGGACTATTTAAGATGTCACAAAAGACTTACATTCATCAGACAAGAAACCCTTTCCAATAAAGCCCAATCTTCAAAACGATAACTTTAATTCCAATCCCCTAATTATTTGGAGGAAGCAATCTTGTCTTTCTATGGGGTAAATATACAGGTGAAACTCGAAAAATTAGAATACTGTGCAAAAGTTCATTTATTTCAGTAATGCAACTTGAAAGGTGAAACTAATATATGAGATAGACTCATTACATGCAAAGCGAGATAGTTCAAGCCTTGATAGTTCAAGCCTTGATAGTTCAAGCCTTGATTTGTCATAATTTTGATGATTATGGCTTACAGCTCATGAAAACCCCAAATTCACAATCTCAGAAAATTAGAATAATACATGAAATAAATAAAACAAAGATTGTACATAGAACAATATCGGACCTCTGAAAAGTATAAGCATGCATATGTACTCAGTACTTGGTTTGGGCCCCTTTTGCATCAATTACTGCCTCAATGGGGCGTGGCATGGATGCTATCAGCCTGTGGCACTGCTGAGGTGTTATGGAAGACCAGGATGCTTCAATAGCAGCATTCAGCTCTTCTGCATTGTTCGGTCTCAAGTTTCTCATCTTTCTCTTGGCAATGCCCCATAGATTCTCTATGGGGTTCAGGTCAGGTGAGTTTGCTGGCCAATCAAGCACAGTAATCCCATGGTCATTGAACCAGGTTTTGGTACTTTTTGCAGTGTGGGCAGGTGCCAAGTCTTGCTGGAAAATGAAATCAGCATCCCCATAAAGCTCGTCTGCGGAAGGAAGCATGAAGTGCTCCAAAATCTCCTGGTAGATGGCTGCGTTGACCCTGGTCTTAATGAAGCACAGTGGACCAACACCAGCAGATGACATGGCTCCCCAAATCAACACAGACTGTGGAAACTTCACACTGGACTTCAAGCATCTTGCAGTGTGGTGCCTCTCCATTCTTCCTCCAGACTCTGGGTCCTTGGTTTCCAAATGAGATGCAAAAGTGGCTCTCATCAGAAAAGAGGACTTTGGACCACTGAGCAACAGACCAGTTCTTTTTGTCTTTAGCCCAGGTAAGACGCTTCTGACGTTGTTTGTTGTTCAGGAGCGGCTTGACAAGAGGAATACGACATTTGAAGCCCATGTCCAGGATCGGTCTGTGTGTGGTGGCTCTTGATGCACTGACTCCAGCCTCAGTCCACTCCTTGTGAAAGTCCCCAACACTTTTGAATGGCCTTTTCCTGACAATCCTCTCCAGGCTGTGGTCATCCTTGCTGCTTATGCACCTTTTTCTTCCACACTTTTCCCTTCCACATAACTTTCTATTAATGTGCTTTGATACAGCACTTTGGGAACATCCAACGTCTTTTGCAATTACCTTTTGAGGCTTTCCCTCCTTATGGAGGGTGTCAATGATGGTTTTCTGCACAGCTGTCAGGTCAGCAGTCTTTCCCATGATTGTGATTCCTACTGAACCAGACTGATACCATTTAAAGGCTCAGGAACCCTTTGCAGATGTTATGGCTTAATTAGCTGATTAGAGTGGGACACTTTGAGCCTAGAATATTGAACCTTTTCTCAATATTCTAATTTTCTGAGATTGTGAATTTGGGGTTTTCATGAGCTGTAAGCCATAATCATCAAAATTATGAGAAATCAAAGCTTGAACTATCTCGCTTTGCATGTAATGAGTCTATCTCATATATTAGTTTCACCTTTTTTAAGTTGCATTACTGAAATAAATGAACTTTTGCACGATATTCTAATTTTTCGAGTTTCATCTATAGTACATATAGTCTGACTTAGATATATCATGATATGTATGCAGTCTGCTACCTTCCCCACTTCTTTCCCACTGCATTGTCAAGAAAGGCAAGGCATGAGATATAAATAACCTGAAATTGGCTGCCCCCTCATGAGGAGGTTTTGGGTAGCATCCATCTATCTCTGTCAAATTCTAGCAGCTGGAATCTATATACTTATAGATTACAATCAGAGTACACTGATTGTATTTGTACAGCTTTTAGCACAAGCCGTATTACAATGTTCTGTTAAGAGATCACCATGCAGAAAAATCTATGTGGTGGTTACAAGTTGATAACGACTTCTTGGCACATTATCAATTAACTAAATACAATTGGCATCATATTTCTACAGCAGTCCTGCATCTAATCTTGCAATGCCCAGACCTGAAACATAATCCATCTGATATGACAGGTACTGCTACAATAGAGCTCTTCAACCAATTTAACATAGAAATGTCAGAAATTTCCTCCAGTATTCTAATAATATTCTTTTTTACATAAAAAGCGACAACAAAGAATATAAAAATAACTTTAAATTGTTCCCCTTGGATTAAGAATCTTCCTATGACAAAGTATTTAGATACCAAAGGAGCCCCGATTCCATAATTAAGGAATTAAGGGCACTGTTCCTCTATATGCAATGTGTGTATATACATATAAAAACATGCAACATTTTAAAGGTACATCACCACAACATGCATGTACTTGCTAGAAGCTGAAATGCTATACCAAGATAACAAATGCTGACGTTACCACTAGTTAGTACAAAACGCAGCTGTAGAAAGAGACTGCTAGCTTAGAACATTTTCAGAATGTTGAATTGTCCATTCAAGAGCATCCCACCCCTGGAGCAACACAGAAAAAATGTACAACTTGCAGCAAACAGTTATTCCATCATCAAGCCTACAATATAAGAGCCTCTCACAAAATTAAACATTTTTAATTGCATAGCTATAGCAAGCAAGATTACCCCAAAAAAAGTTTACACATATAGCAAAGCGGGATTTTGACAGCATATAAACATGCATCCCATCATATAATACTGAAGAATCAACTAAGTCCATGTGTTGTTGCTCGCTTGTTTTTAACATCTACTTGAGATTATGTGTTACAAATTCTTAAAAAATAACTGCCATCTAGACACTTGGTTACAAAATTAAAGTGACCTCAGCTGAATGGATGAAAAACACAGAGGCACATTGACTGTTTAGTGGTCTCAGAATTAGGACAGAAAAGAAGAAACTGCAGAAAAACTGCAGGCAAACGACTAGGTCAAGCAATGCATTGACAATTTTATAAACAGGCAGGTAAATGTAAAAATGATTGTTTATCATATTTCCCAAAATTCTGTGAACAGCATCTCATCATATGGATCTTTTCCAAAAAATAGACTTTATAGGAGCGAACTATTTAGTTAACATTTTGCCATTAAATTCTAAAGGACATAAGGATTACACCTCACAGAACCCAAAGTTACATTTCATAGCAAACATTAAGTGCTGCAATTAGGACAAACCAAAAGTCACAGGGGGAAAAGGGGGACTTGCAGATTGTCAGACTTGTCGACTTACATGAAAATACCACTGACTAGTCTCCATATTTATTATTTGAAATTAATTGCACTACAAATTATTGAAAAGGATGACATGCTTATGATGCTAGCTTTCTCTTACCCACTAACACAGAATGGAAAACTTGTACCTTTTCATATACTGCAAAACCTTCACTTCCAGAAGCTTAAACCATCATGCCCAATGGAGACCAGCAATAGCTGGAGGAGACAGGCTTATCACCAATGTCTCAAACATATGGACTGTGTGTATCACACCTTACTTTAAAGGCAGCATCAATCATTTAAAGTAACCATTTTACAACCTTAATTTTTTTTTTCATTTATCACTAAATAGAGCAGGTATTTGCAATCTGCACTAATCTGTAAAGTGAGGGACAGAGAGTGGAGACAGGTCAATTAATGACTTCAGCTTTCCCTGAAGAAGCAGACTGTTCTCAATGGAATGCAGCCATAACAGAAAGTATGCCATGTTTTTCATACCTTACTGAACTTAGAAAGCAATACCACTGGCTATTTCTGATACACTGGATGAGAGTTGTCCAAGGACACCATCTATGGAACAGTTGGAACGAATTCCACATTGTAGTTGCCAGATTTTATTTGCAAAGAAACCAGGAGCTGGGAAGAAAGAACTCTTGGATGGTCCCTACAAGCTTGTAACTTTGAGAAAAACAAGCTTTTGCACACTTTTCTCACTTTATATTCCATGACATTTGGGCAATTTTAATTTTAAATAACTTGTAAATAGTTCCCCCGTTCCCAGATTTCCCTCAGGAAGGTGCCCACATCACATCATATCATGCAGTGGTAACTGCTTCCTTAAACAGTTGCTAATGCATAATATAAACCAAAGACATGAACAGATAAACATCTTTCTTTCTCCTCTCTCCTACTTTTGAGGCTAAAAATGGCAAGTGGGTGATTGGCTTGCTTCCTCTGTAATCCTATGTGCCTTCAGAAACCCACTGGGGAAGCTAATTAGCAATAAGAAATACTATACTTTGATCTATGTTCAGGAGGCCAGCTGTCACATTTCCAATTCAGGTTCAAACTGAATATGTGATTATATCTCAGCCACATACGTCCTACTCTTTTAGCTATAAATATCCATTTTAACTAGCACATACACACAGAGAAATGTATGTGAAAAGGAAACCTAGCCCATTGTTCCCAATCATTAGTACATATGCAATACCACTGGTAATTAATAGCCATTTTCCTGTTCTTTATCTTACTTTTTAAAAATTATATTGAATGTTTAATGTAATGTTTCCCTACCATTCAGCAATGTAGTGATTTTCAGATGGATTGACTTTGAATTCTAATAGGGGCCTCAGACATTTCTTTGGCCTATCCTCAAACGTCTTACCTCATTCTTAATGTTTAAAAATAAAATTAGAAGGAAGCTACTACATTGCAAGACAAAAGAACAGCCTCATAATTTTTATTTCTAAATATCCCCTGGATTCCATGACTTTCTTTTAAAAATAAAATGGGGTGTAGCTGTAGGTCAAAGCTTCTGTGATAAATATGCTCTCTGCAATTAAAAAAAAAAGACAGAATAGTTTAGGAAGTACAGAGGTTGCCGGAAGCACAAATGGTTTGTGAATGGGCAATCCATCACCCATCATCCATCATGTATTCACCATATGTTTTCAAAATGTTGAATAAGGGACTTTTGTTCAATTTAACTCTCATCACTCCCAGACAATTTATACATTGGATTATAATCCAAAATGTCTAGATGGCATCATACTGGGAAAAAACTACTAAATAGTGCTGCATTTTGACTACTCTTTTATTTCTGTTAAAAGGTTTTTAATTGAGGGCATCTTGGATTCCATCTATTGGCACAATTCACAATTCACATCAGTTCACATTAAATGTAGTTTAGGTTTGTGTCAGTTGTGGGTTGCAATGGATTGACAATGTGTACTAATTAAGTCTTAAAAAGGCCCCATCGTAGTAACAGTAACACAATAAAAAAATTATATACCTACCTTTCTAGCATTAGACGATATTGTGTTGGCCATTAAAGTTTCTAAGTAACTACTGAGACTAACACCTTTTACTGTAATAATTGCTTCTTGAGTTAGAAGAGTTCTAGGGAAGGGAAAAAAAAAAGTTAGAACACAAAGGATTCTTAATTTTCATGCTTTTGTTTAAGCAGAACATCTAAACTTACTTTTCAGGATTTTCAGGATGAGGTGTATAAACTAATCGTTCATCCACTGATACAAGATTCGTAAGCGTTATCTTAGAAAAATAAAGACAAAAATTAGTTTTTATCATTTCTGACTTACTCTTTCATATTAAATGAAAAAAAATCTGCAACTCCTCAAATAAAAGGACCATTTAAAAAATGGTAAAATCTTAAACCCATTGTTGGGGGTTGTAGCCTGAAGAGTTTCAAGACTCATAGTTTAAATATCAATATAAGCAGAATAATTTATTGTGATTCTTTTAGGATGCCCACCCTACTCTCAAACCTATAATCCCCAGCATGACTTTCCAAAGATTTACTTCAGAGATACTGAATATTATCTGGTATTCTGTCATCATTTACCACTTCAGTCTTACAACTATATTTTTCAAAGAATCTTCAAACACTGTATTAAAGACACCCAGAGAAAGCATTCAGCAAGCCTCTTGTCCTGCAAGCAAAAAAAACAACAGACTTCATTACTTACATTTGTGGAGCTCAATACCATTGTCTTTTCCACTGGATCAACTACTGAATGTTCTTTAATGTATGTAACAGTTCTATTTGTTCCCAAAATCTTGAAGAAAAAAAAGAAAAAAATGAGAATTAATCCAAAGTCACATGAGCAGAAATTATGCAATAAACATAAATCTTTAAAAGTATGGTTCTTCACAGACACTGTAATTCTTTCTAACAAAACGATGTTAAATATTTATCACTAGAATCATGCAAGGTCAAAAGTGATAATTGTATTAAGAAGCCAGGAGGGTAATAATTTAGGAAGTTAATTGGTAAAAACATTCTATTTGTTTTGTTTTTGTTTATTACTAGCTTTTGTAACTTACAGCTTTTACAATATTTGGTAGACCCCATTCTGTACTAAGTAAGCGATGACTATGTAATCTTCCTTGATTATCAAGGCTTCGGTCCAAGACATCAACTCCTACCACTGATGGGTTCATAGGATTGGGGTATTTTCTCATTGCAGCTTTTATTACAGTATCCCATGAATGCCTGAAAAAAAATGAAATAGAACAGAATTAATCAATATACATCCTTAAGAAGGTCCAATGCAAGCAGCAATTTTTAAAATTTGCGTTAAAAAATGCCCCTCCCCCCAAGGAATCAGTATCTCCTGAATCTCCCTATTTTTAAATTCTTCTCCCCACTTTTCCCATCCATATTATGTTAGTCAGGAGAAAATAAATGTATGCAATTTTTTTAATTACCAGCCCTCCACACCCGCAATCCAAAGGACATAAGTTTAGCCCAATGTAAAATTAATGTACAATAAAATGATGTGCTAATTTTATAAAGAATAAAATCTTCATGTGTAATGTACTTTTAATGCTGATTCTACTTTTATTCTTCAATTGGAAGAATTATATCAGAATTTCTTTTAGTATGAGCAGCATTACAAGAACATCATACTATTATAATACCAATGCAAATATTATTCATTTTAAAAACTAACAAGAAAAATTTTCTCTGTAACAAGTTCCTATCTAGGAATGGTCTACTGTACTCAAAGGAAAATCTTTCAGGTTATATAAATTCAATCCTGTATTTAAGATTTTCTTAAAACAGAGCTCTGCTAATCACCAGTGCCAACAATGTATTTAGAAACTGTTTCAATTATGGTTATGAGTTTTAAAGTAGTTTTTAGTCTTGTGTCACATCCACTTGACCTGGAAATATTCTCTCATTTCTAACAGTTTGTCTGTTTTCCCCCCTTACCGTATTTCTGGAAGTTTTAAATTCCTAGATAGGTCTCATCTGTCACTCTTAAAATCTATTTATATTTTCCATTTATGTTGAATTCTGATGGCTCCAGAAAACTGACTATGCAAATGAAATATCTGACAAAGGCCTCATGATTCAACGCATGCCTATTCAAGAAATTAGGTCAGTTTGAAAACCATTCCTGATCAGTCTGGAAGTATCCAATGATAAACCAAACTACAACTCATAACCTTTGTTCCCTACTTGCCTCAGACTGCTGAATATAAGTCAGTACATAACACGTGTATATTCTGAACATGTAAGCTGGACTTTGATCTTTAGAAGTACCATTAGATCACTCGAATTGAAAGGAGAAGAACAGAACATTCTTCTATAGAATCACTTGTTCCACATCTCTCTTTTAAGTGGCAAGGTTACTTGCCATCATATTCAAAGGTCTCACTATGATTTACAATTTTTTCTTAATCTTTCTTACTTAGAGTAACAAACCAAATGTCTAACTTCTATAACCATGCTTTGTTCAGGATTCTTCTGCAGTTCCTTAGTGAGAAGGCCTGTGATTTCTATAATCTGGGCCTGCCAATAAAATATACTTTGTTGGATCTATTTTCAATCACTTTGGTTCTTAATTTAATAGGAGCAATAATATTTCCTCCAACACAGGGAAAAAGCCAGTGTAGTCTAGTAGTTAAGGTGCTGGCCTAGGAACCAGGAGACGGTGAATTCTATACCTGTCTTAGACATGAAAAGCTGGCTGGAGGACTTTGGGTCAGTCATTCTCTCAGTCCAACCACTTCATTTCACAGGACTGTTGTTGTGGGAAAAATAGGAGGAGGAAGGAGGAGTATTAGGTATGTTTGCCACCTTGAGTTATTTATAAATAATAACACAGGCAGGATAAAAATAAAATAAAATGCTCAAAATGCTCTCTTTTCTGATGTGCACTGGCAATTTGAAATCACATTAAACATATCTTTTAGCATGAGTCTTACACAGGATAAATAATTGCAACAAGAACTTCACCAATTCATATCAGTAGTACAATCTCATTCAGTGTGCCAGTACATTCCATTCTTTCTTTCCAAATCTGAAGAGCTGACAGGAACTTTTTTTTAGGCAAGAATGCATACTGGTAGTTATCGGTTAATAACCACTTGTTCAGAAACTATTCAAAGTTAGGACAGTGTTGACGTGAAACTTACGACCAGTATTCATATTTGTGGCCATCTCAACACTCCTGCAATCACTTGACTACGATTCAGGTGCTTAGCAACTGGCTTATATTTATAGCATCCTGTGATCACCATTTGTGACCTTCTCTGCTGGCTTTCTATAAGAAAGTCAATGGGGAAGCCAGCATGGAAGGTTGCAAGTTACTATGGTAAATAATTCCCGCTGTTCTTTCTCTCAAAGAAATCCCAAACCATGGTCCCAAGCAGGTAAGCAGCCACCTATCTGGTTGCACTTGTGCTGTGCGCACACATGCTGGCCTTGCCAGGCTCATACCACAACAAAGTAAACCCCCTCCCCCCCACACACACGTCTACATCCCAAGTCCTCAAACACCTACTGCCCTGCTTTTAAAGCCACCAAAGGAGACTTGCAACTTCCTATCAGCTTCCCCATTGTCTTTACTTGCTGGAAGCTGGTAAGAAGTCACAAGTCCCAATCACATGAGGTCCTCACTTAACATCAGCAACAGGAACTGTTGTCACTAAGAAATCTGGTCATGTGACATCACACTCATAACTTCATTGCTTAGTGATAGAAATTCTAGTCTAAATTATTGTCTTTAAGTGAGCTCTACCTATATAGTTTATCTTCTGGCACTTCCATATAGATTGAGGCTTTTGCTGAAAGCTAAATGTTTGATACTAAATGTCAGACAAATAATAATGTGAATTTTAAAAACACAAGGTAAGCATAACATACATTACATTACACCACTCGAATTGACTATCTCAAATTTCGGGATTTAATCTTAAATAAACTTTGGCAAGATGACAGCTATTTTGGAGTGTTGGTTCACTGATATACATCATACCAATCATGCAGTTCTTTGTCTAGTTAAGCAATGTTATGCAAATCTTAGAAAAAGAGTAACACATAAACAAAAGATTTAAAAGACAAAAAATAAGACCAGGAAAAGACACCTTCAATACATGTCCCAGTTTCGGTTTTTACCTTTTCTATATGCCTTTTCACACAATAGTTTTTATTCTTTAAATCCCTCATTGGTCTCTTTTTGAAGAGGTAATTCATCAACTCCATGCAATCCTAATGTTCTTTGTCTTCTCCTTCACATACTCGTTTTGCAATTTGATCCTCATTCTTTCTCTATAATCAAGCCATCTCAACACTCTTCTTTTACACCGCTTGCTCATTTTTGTATTCAATGTTCATTCCATAGCGTGCATTCTTATTTCATAAATTTATAAGCTATCCCCTTTCTCTTGACTTTGCCTCTTTTTGCTTTATTAGACTTTAAAATAACCAATTTCTACTACAGTCAGTTACCTTTATATTTCTTTTGATACACGTATCCAATACTCATTTCTATACAATAAATTAGACAAAAGCACATTCACGCAGCCAGCCATATTAAATTATTGGGACAAATGTTCTTTTTTTTTTACCACTGTTCATATTGTACCCGCTACCTTTGCATCACAATTTGCATCATGTCTTAAAAATGTTGTTTCCATTTCTAGTAGAAGGAGCACTGACATATGCTAAGTATAAAGCACCATCTTTACTTTTCATTCTAAAAAATGATCCCCCACCAAGGAATTATTTCACATATTAATTAAAAAGTCCTCTCTTAGCAGATTATTATTGATGTAATTAGAAGAGGGTCTTATAAATTTTGGTAGGAAACTGCAGCCACAGGCATGTATTCTCATTTTCATATCTATTGCAGAATAAAAATGCAGATTTAAAATTGGTGAAATGTCAGTAACATTACAAGATTTTCATCACACCAATATGTGCAATCTTAAGGCTTATGCAATCTAACCAGACTCTGTACAGAAAGGTGACAAAGGGTAAATTCACATTCAGATGTCCTTAAACATTCGGGGGGGGGGGGAAACTCACAAGGACGAGAGTGGCATACTTAACTGGACTCCTCATGCTTCAAAAAAAATTAAATGCTTCAGAACCACCTTGCCATTTATTAAAGTACCCTCTTTTTCTTTAGGCTTTCATGGAAGTCTAAAAAAGTGTGAATGTTTAAAGACATCAATTCATTACCTTCAATGTGATGCTTAAAGCAGCAGCACTTTTCAGAATCACTTACAAGTCTGAAAATTAGAATAGCTGAAGGATACTATGTTGGGCTTATTCATATTCATTCTATTAATCAGACAGACAGACACACACATACACATTGAGTATCATCTGAAAAAACTATATGAGATTCTGGGAAAAGAACAGTGAATAGGAAAGACCTATGGTTTATCATGAAACTTCGTAAGATTTTATAGTAGCATAGCTATTTACCAGCATATTTTGCTACTTAAAAATAGCAGATACTTTTAGATATCTGCTATTCATGACTGGACAATCACTAAAGCTTTTAGATGTAAACCAAGTGTATCAAATAAATTTGAGGAAATACTAATTCTAATTTCCATGCAAGAAACATAATTTTGCTAGAGAGAAAATATAACTTCTGTTCATGCAAAACAAAAATTATCCAACAGCCATTACAATGAAGACAATTTTTACAGTGTCCTAAATTCTCTACTTAGAAAATTCCAAAATGATTGTATCATGAATTTATTTCCTCCATATCTGTATATTTGGAGACATATCACAACATTACCTCTTACTTTTAGCCACCCTTCCTTGAAGTGCTAAAAGTTTGTTTTATATTAATTTGGTCTCCGAAAGGACAAACTCCCTACTGAAAAAGAAGGCAAAGAAGAAATGGATTTAGAAAGCAAAATGTTTCTTATGTATACATACAGAGAAACATAAACCAGGAAAAAACAAATGAACAGTTTGATTAAGTAACAAGTAAAACTAATCCTAAATGTTCCTCTCTGGCCTCCACTGTTTTGACATTTTTGAGGCTGCTTTGGTTATGAAAAATCCAGAATTTGGACTTAACTCAACGTCCAAATTCTGGATTTTTCATAACCAAAGCAGCCTCAAAAATGTCAAAACAGTGGGGGCCAGAGAGGAAGATTTAGGACTAATTTTACTTGTCACTTAATCAAACTGTTTATTAAAATTGCACACTTATCAGAAAACTATTTCTAAAAACCTCAGAACAGGTAAGGGTTTTAAGATCATCCACGAAGGACTACCTAACCTGGATCACCACACGTTTATAGAGGAAGTAAACAGCAGTTTGATGACCTTCCAGCATCCTAGCAGAAGTGTCCTCTTACCAGATTCTGTTAGAGGGCAAATCAAGAACTACTTTTCCCTGCAATAAGGGACAGGAAGGAAACTCTAGGGGGGGGGGAGACCTAGTTACTATAAATACTGAATTAATGCCTTAAAGAAATCAAAATGAGTGTGCCTTTATCTACACACACACAGGGCAACTTTTAAAGCTCTTCCCACTTTTCACCTATGTCTTCAACATCACGACTACGAGATCGGCAAAGCTACAGCAATTAGGCAGACACGTTGTAGGAAACGGGTTGGGGGTTACAGGCTGCGTTCATACAACATCTTGACTCAGAATAGAGCTGGGAGGGACCTTGGAGGTCTTCTAGTCCAGCCCCCTGCCCAAGCAGGAGATCCTATATCATTTCAGACAAGTAGACTGTCCAGTCTCGTCTTAAAAACCTCCAGTCCAAACGAGTCTGCCTCCTTTTATCTTTAGAGAGCGTTCCGAGGATCCTGGTTTGTAAATCGTGGGTTATGGATTAGCCCACTGCGCAAACTCAAGAAATAAACCATGATTTCATTAACGCCCGCAGAGCGGATCACTTCAGCCTTTCCCATTAAAAGGGAATTTAAAGGGACGGGAAGACAGCAAGCTAGGAAAAGCTGGAGATCTTCAACAGAGCAGGCTAGAGAGGAACACGTGTTGGATGTCAAGCTACGTCTCCCCCCACCCCCACCCCCACCGGAGCGAAGCAGCCCTTCTGCCCTCCCTTACCCGAATTCGTGTTCCGAGCTCCAGATCTTCATCCTGCAAAGAGCGACGGCGAGGGCTGCGCGGCGGAAGGCACCGGCTTCTGGGCTCAGAAGGAAAAGGCGGAGCTTCTCGGATAGGAATGTGGGCCGAGACGTCAGCATCTGCGTCACCAAGGCAAGGGCAGAGACCATCTCCTGGAAGGGTCAACCACTCTCGGCTCTGGCAGGCGGGAAAAGGCGGGCCGAGCGCGCAAGGAAAGACAGCAACGCCCTTGAAGCCGGAGACGCCGAGTTCACCTTGTCGGTCGGCGCCGTCATTGCTACGCGGATAGGCCACGCCCCCCGCCTCTGTGAGCGGCCGGCTTTTTTTTTTTTCTTCCTTTTTTTTCATTTTCCTACAGCGGCTTTTCGTTGCGTGAGTGACCGCGCGCAGAGAGTTTTATTAAAGGTTAGCCTCGGTCGAGTCGAGTCTGTGTCGAAAGCAGAATAATAAATCTCGGGTTTGCTGGATTTTTTTTTTGATGAAAGATGCAATCCGGTCCTGCTTTATCGGGACAAATCCTACCGAAATCAGTAGAAACAAAGTGTTTCTCAACCATGGCAACTTCAAGAGGTCTGGACTTCAACTCCCAGAATTCCCCAGCCAGCCATTCTAGCTGAGTAATTCTGGGAGCTGAAGTCCAGATGTCTTTGAAGTTGCCAACGTTGAGAAACACTGCAGTAGAACTTACTTCCGAATGGGTAACTTTACTTTAGAGAAGAACGTTCTCATTTTAATATATGCCTGGCAATATCTACCGAATCCATCGTATTGGATCACTAATTTTAATTAAAACAAAAAGAAACTCAAGTATAACATAGCCCTATCAGATGGGCATGTTCACATAATAGATATTTTGGTTAGAGTTGACAGCGAGCATTGTGCAATTTCAGCTCAGTTACCTAATGTACAGTATTACTACTACCCCAGGCATCTCTAGTAGTTCAGCCCACTGGATTAGTATTAAATGTTAGAATTTTTTTTCAGATGCCCAGTACAAATCTACTTCCTTGTAATTTAAACTCTTTTATTCCCTGGATTAAAAACCTTTAGTGAAATACACTTTTAAATTCTTTCCAAACTGTATTTTTTTTTATCTGGAGGAAGGGTAGACCAATCATGCAGTGATGCAATACCCGTAGTAGTGTGAACAAAGGGCAAGATAAATCTTTTTTTTTTTTTTACTATTGATGCCCTTGCTGCTTGTCAGAATGTCCTAGAACTCAGAGTACCACGTTTATATATTCCTGTTCAAGGTGATTCAGCCACACCTACCATGCCATTATAAAATTGAAGTATAGAAAAAAAGGCGAACTTAACTCGCTAAAAGAATGCAAATATCCAGCTGTCTACAAGGAGTATAAATCCTTCCATTCCCCACCATCCAGTCAGAGCTGAAGAAGCTTCTTGGATGAGAAGCAAAATGTCTTCAAAGAAAAACCAGAAAATCCAGTTGTTATTGTTGTTATTATTATTATTATTATTATTAATCAAATTTCTATACCGCCCTACTCCCGAAGGACTCAGGGCGGTGAACAGCCAAGATAAAATACAGATAATACAAATATTAAAAATCCCTTAAAATTATTAAATATTTTGGCCGAAACACAGATTAAAACACCCAATTTATAAAATCACGAATTAAAAAATTTAAAAGAGGAGAGTTAGGCCAGGCCAGCCTGCTGAAATAGAAAAGTTTTGAGAGCACGGCGAAACATGCGCAGGTCCGGGATCCTCCGTATCTCTGGGGGGGAGCTCGTTCCAGATGGTAGGTGCCCCCACAGAGAAGGCTCTCCCCCTGGGGGCCGCCAGTCGACACTGTTTGGCCGACGGCACCCTGAGGAGCCCCTCTCTATGGGAGCGTACTGGTCGGTGAGAGGCTATTGGTAGCAGAAGGCGGTCTCGTAAATACCCCGGTCCGATGCCATGGAGCACTCTAAAGGTGGTAACCAAAACCTTGAAGCACACCCAGAAGACTACCGGGAGCCAGTGCAGCTCGCGCAGGAGGGGGGTCACATGGGAGCGCTACATCGCTCCCATAACCCCCCACGCGGCCGCATTCTGGACCAGCTGGAGCCTCCGGGTGCTCCTCAAGGGGAGCCCCATGTAGAGAGCATTGCAGTAGTCCAAGCGGGAAGTAACGAGAGCATGAGTGACCGTATTTAACGAGTCCCAATCCAGAAAGGGACGCAACTGGCGAATCAGGCGGACCTGATAAAAAGTCCCCCTGGCCACGGCCGTCATGTGCTCTTCTAAAGACAGCCATGAGTCCAGGCCACCCAAGTTGCGAACCTTCTCCGTGGGGGCCAATGACTCGCCCCCAATAGTCAGTGATGACACCAACTGACTATATCGGGATGTCGGAAACCACAGCCACTCGGTCTTGGATGGGTTGAGCCTGAGTCTGTTTCTCCCCATCCAGATCCGCACGGCCTCCAGGCACCGGGACATCACTTCAAGGGCATCATTGGGGTGGTCCGGGGTGGAGATGTACAGCTGAGTATCATCAGTGTACTGATGGTACTTCACCCCGAAACCACGGATGATCTCACCCAGCAGCTTCACATAAATGTTGAACAGAAAGGGCGAGAGGACCGACCCTTGTGGCACCCCACATACAAGGGGCCTCAGGGTCGACCTCTGCCCCCTGTCAACACGGACTGCGACCGGTCAGAGAGAAAGGAGGAGAACCACCGTAGGACGGTGCCCCCCACCCCTAACTCCTCTAGCCGGTGCAGCATGATACCATGGTCGATGATATCAAAAGCCGCTGAGAGGTCTAATAGGACCAGGACAGAGGAACAACCCCTGTCCCGAGCCCTCCAGAGATCATCAACCAACGTGACCAATGCCGTTTCCGTGCTGTACCCGGGACTGAAGCCCGACTGGAATGGATCGAGATACATTGCCTCTTGAAAAAGCACCATTGGGACAACCACGGCCTAGATGACTGAGAATCTCCATAGACATATACGGAAAAAAGTTTTCAGATTGGGAGCAGACTTGAAACCAAGTTTTTTTTTATTTCCTGGATAATTACCATTTAATTAGAAAATAATTCATGTTTATTTAACATAATTGCAGCAATTCCATTTCTACTTACTTGAACATAAATCCCATTAATTACTGGACAATTTCCTTAACACAATGAATCTATAGTTGTATTCCTCACAAACTAGAATCTAGTAGCCCAGTTTCCAGGTGCTTCTAAGAATTCTGAAAGAAAACAAGCCAGTGATATTTGATTTGCTCTGTTCAAGTCGAATTATTATTATAATTAATGTCTTGAAGCAAAAGCATACAAAAGAAAGTCATCTTTCTCCTCCTCTGCGAAAACTCGTTATGTAGGAGGAAGGTCTGCAAATACAATTCTAAACTTACAACTTTTCAAACTTATTATCTCTGCTCGGATTTTGGGGGTACTTTAGCTGATCTTTTTCATGTGTGTAAAGATCCTTCTGGAAAAGCGCTGTTGCTCGAAAACCGCCTTGGGGAACAGCGGCGCTTCCACAATTAAGAAAAAAAGAAAAGAAACGCGGCTCCAGGGCTGCAAGAAGAAACGGAACGCTCGCACGCAAACGACAGGCGTGGAGGCGGCTCTGCGCGCGCATGGGAAAAAGGAGGAGGAGGAGGAGGACGTCGACGTGATGACGCAGTCGGAGCGCCAGGAGCGTGGTCCAGCCTCTTCAGGAGGCGTGAGAGAGTTGTGTTTGCGGGGCCTTTAGGCCTGTTTGGGGGGCCATGGCTCATCGCTGCCTCTGGCTGTCGCGCTGTTGTTGCCGGCGCACCCCTACCGGGGTCCCCGGAGCTCAGCTGCAGTTTTGGTCCCGAGGTCGAGCCGTCCCCTCCCGCTCCTTGAGACAGGTGAGTCACATACGCTAAGCAGGGCAAGGGCAGATGGGTGTCTTCTTTCCTATGTCTCCACTGCTGCCCCCCCCCCCCCCCCATAAGCGCTGCTTTGAGCCCCTAATCACCCGAATCGACTGAGCCAGCGGCCGGGACGAAGCAAATTTGCGTCGCTGGCGTTTTTGCTCGCGGCAACAGATCTGCCCGTTCAGATCAGTCAGGATCGCTCACTTTAGGGCAACCTTAATCCTAATGAATATCCTATAATCTTTTTAAAACGGGGCGTCCTCTGTCGCAGATTTAAGAGTGAACTTCGACATCGTCAGAAAGTTTAAAAGGCATGACAGTGCAACAGAGTCCCCTGCTCTCTAATAATATCATGTGCTGGGATTCTGGTAAAATGCTTGGCTAAGTGCCTGATTTCCACAAGGAAGCAAGAATTTTATTTCGCATGATTTTTTTTAACAGATATTAATTATGCTTTAGTTATCTGGTAAGTAATTGTAGAAAAAAAATATTACTTGGGAAAGAGATTAACTTAAAGATGTTTTGTTCAGTTATAAGCTGTAGAAAAGAAGTGCAGATTCTTTTGTGCAGATTTTCAAAACCAGCACAAAAATGTATAGTGGACGGCTGGACCACTTACCACGCTAAATCATAAGATGTTCCGTTTGTTGCTTGCATAACCCAGTCCTTCATGTTCTGTTACTCAGTCAATCCCAGCTTAGCACAATATATGAACCTTACAAATCGTTGAACAGAAAAATAAGACTTCTGTTACATTTGTTGCCAGAACTTTACAGTACGGCAATCTGTCTCAAGGATGCTTTTCCAAAACGCAATTGGACTATATTTTTTGTTCAAGGGGGAAAAAAACGTAGCCCAGTTGCTTTTTGAAAAAGTATCTTTGAGACAACCATGACCTGGATGACTAAGAATCTCCATATACATTTGGTACAGCATTCTATTTTATCAGACAATTTTATTTCTAATTGTGAAAACTACCTGTATTCCATGCCTCATATAGATATCAAGGAAGAGCTAAAAGGGTTTATCTGTGCCTCATCTCCTACTCACATTCATTGACTTTCTGATCATTTTTGGTGATCACTATATTGTTAGATATGAGACTCTTATATGACTTTTAAGAAATTCCAAATGTGCTTTCTGTACGTGTGTGATATTGTTGGATGTTAAAAGCCATTTCCAAGTACTGCTTTCCTGCGGCTCTCATAGGAATTCAGAAGAAATTAGGGAATGTACAATATAGTGGAAGTGTGACATCGGTGAGATATAATTCTGGATAGGTTTATGTAAATTACAATCTAAGAGAATATTGGATGCAATTTACCAGGATTCC